AATGCCACTGTATTTACAATTGGTCCTGAACTTTTAGTATCCAGAGGCAACCTAATTCATAGCCATGAAGCAAATGAACCGAAATTAAACAGGAAAATTATTTCTAATTCGTGTAAGCGAAAAGCAGTTGATGATATTTCGGAAAAACCTTCTAAAATTATCCGTAAAGTACTTGCTACTAATTTACCAGAGTCACTAACTACAATTGATGTGTCCTACATAAGAAAAACTATATACAACAGTCGTCGCAAAATACTACCAGGTCCATTACCTACAAATATACAAGAAGTGCATGATGCAGTTGACTTATATTCTAATACATTTAAAACCAGTAAAGGTGAACATTTTCTTTTAATAAATAGCAGAGAAAATAATATTATTGTATTTACATGTGAGACAAATATTCATACTTTGTGTAAAATGAACGTCTTGTATATGGATGGAACATTTTCGTATTGTACAAAGTTTTTCCTACAATTATTTACCATTCATGGGCTGTGTAATGGACACTATGTGCCCCTGGTATATTGTTTATTACCAAACAAATCTACCGATATATACAAACATTTGTTTTCGTTATTGCATTATAAAATTTTGGAAACTTACAGTATTGCTTTAAATCCATCTAAAGTGTTCGTTGATTTTGAAATAGCAATTCATAAGGCGTTAATTTATATGTGGCCTAATACTGTAATCAATGGCTGCCGATTTCATCTACATCAAGCGTGGTATCGTAAAATTCAGTCTCTGGGATTAATGACTGAATATACAATAACAGTGATACCGGAAAATGGCTTAAAACATCATTTGGGTTGACATATTTAAACGCCGATGAAGTTGGAGACTGTTTTGTGTTTGACTTAATGGCAAGTAAACCAGAAAATGCCGTTCTCGATAGGTATGCCGATTACCTATTAGAAACATATATTGAAGAAAATTCTACATTTCCTCCAAGTATATGGGCAGAAAAAACAGCTTCAATTACAAGAACTACAAATGCCTGTGAGTCGTTTCATTCAAGGTTTAATTCTTCATTCTACTGTACACATCCTTCTGTATATATTTTTATAGAAAAGCTTAAAGACTTTCAAATCGACACGTATGTCACAATACAAAGCTTAAGTATACCTAAGAAAATCAAAGACAAAAGTGTAAAACAAAAAATTCAGTGTTTAGAAAAATTTATACAGCGATTTGATCTGCAGCAAATCAGCAGATTAGAGTATATAACATTTGTATCACATTTATCCCTCCCAGTTGAAAAATATGTAAATAAAATATAAATATATAAAAAATATAATATAACTTATGTATACTTACTTTTTTATAATAATAAAAATTAGTGTTTAATATAATTTTTAGTTTAATTAATAATGTGTTTTTACTTTTCGATAATATATAAAAAATAATAAATGAAAGATATATCTATTATGATTTATTCAGTTAGAAATAAATTTGGGCAAAATACCAACAGGATTAAGATGACCTTTTACTTGCTGTGGGCAAATTACCTATAGGATTAGCAGCTTCAAATATTTTGTGGGCAAATTACCTCCGCCCGGTTTTATTTAGTGGTCATCAGTACCGAATAATACGCGATATACACGGCGTAGTTACCTGGTTATGTGTTAATGAAAAAAAGCAACGTTGTAAAGGTCCATTAAGACCAGAGAAGGTAAATTAATTGCAAGCAGTGAAAAACCACATGTGTGCTCGTCACAGGAGGCTGAGTTGGATGTGCAAAAGAAATTGCACATATGCAGGAAGAGAGCTAGGGAAGATTTGAGTATCCCGGTCTGTGAGATCTTTCGAAGAGAATTCATGGTATGTAATTTTTCTTATCATATACATTAGACTGGGCCAAAAAAATAACTATTTTTTTTTGAAAGATATATCGAGAATATCATTCAGAATGATAAAAAAAATTCGTGAAAATTTGAGCCCTTAATATTAATTTTAAGAGGTCTATCATCGCTATTTTTGATTTTTTGTCATAATTTGATGTTTTACGTTAGAACTGTCAAAACATTAAAGTGAAAAAAATTCCTTTTCACTTATTCTGATATAAAATTAAATTTTCTACGAAAATGGTCTGATTGAAAATTTTCGACGGACGAGCTGTTTCCAAGTAATTTCGTAACTAATAAATAACTTTTGAAGAATTAAATTTAGGCAAAAATATTAAGAGACCTTTTTTGTAGAACATTAATTTTCCTTTAAGAATCCGACGTGGGCTTTTTTAAATATGCATTGATTCATTAGTTACGAAATTACTCGAAAACGGTTCGTCTGACAAAAATTTTAATAGGGCCTTTTTTGTAGAGAATTTAATTTTACATAAGAATAAGTAAAAAGGATTTTTTTTTTCACCTTAATGTTGACAGTTCTAACGTAAAACATCAAATTATGACTAAAAATCAAAATAGCGATGATAGACCTCTTAAAATTAATATTAAGGGCTCAAATTTTTAGGAATTTTTTTTTCATCATTCTGAATGATATTCTCGATATATCTTTAAAAAAAAAAAAATTGTTATTTTTTTGGCCCAGTCTAATATACATAGTGTTGTTAAATGTATGCCAAAAAATTGAGATGACATTTATGTTAATCATTTATTTTTATTCCAGGATCTAGAAGCTAGAGGATATGAATTTGTCACTAAAATGCCAGATTACAATGTAGCTAAAACCAGTCTGTGTAAAATAAGGAGGGTGGCTTTAGGAACAGACCAAAACCCGACAAGTGCTGCAGACATTATTTTTAAACCAAACACACTAATTTTACCCGACGGAAGCAGTTTTCTAATTGATGACTCGACCATCGAAGGCGAAAGAATTTTTATATTTGGCGTAGAAAATGCTAGATGGCATTTAGAAAGCGCCAGCATTAATTTTATGGATGGAACATTCGATATATGTTCAGCTCAGTTTGTTCAGCTATATAGTATACACATAGACGCTGGAAGCAACCACGAAGAAACTAACGTCCAGCCGATTATTTTTGCGTTACTGCCAAGTAAAACGGAAGCAACTTACAAAAGATTATTTCAAACTATTAAAAATTGGGCACCGAAATGGAAACCAAATTTAATAAAAATTGATTTCGAAGTTGCGGCTTTAAATGCACTTCGTAGTGTGAACAGAACTACGAAAATTTCTGGATGCAATTTTCATTTTATGCAGTGTCTCTGGAGGAAAATTCAAGAAATTGGGCTAGCTAGGGAATACAGAGAAAATGAAGAAATTAAGAGATTTTGTAGAATGTGTGGTGCTCTGTCTTTAATTCCATTGGAATTTGTGGTGGATGGTTGGTTGGCTATTTTTGGAGAAGCACCAGAGTCAGATAAGCTGCGCCAGTTTGCAGATTATTTCATAGACCAGTGGCTTGACAACGATAAAATGAATATCGATGTTTGGAACGTATCAAAACAACGTCACAGAACTAACAATGTTGTTGAGGGCTGGCACCGACGTATGAATAAGTTTGTTGGAAGAACTACTCCAAATATTTATTATTTGGTAGGGAAATTAACGGAAGAAGCAATTCATTCATCGTTTATTCTTAAACAAATTGAATGTGGAGTTCCTCAAAACAAAAGGAAAAGAATGTACCAAAAAATGAACCAGAAAATTAATGAAGCTCTAAATAAGCTAGACCAAGATGGGAATATTTTGAATTGTCTTCGAGTGTTAAGTTACAATCAAAAATTTGATTAAATCAGTTTTTTGTCAAAGTGTAACTATACAGTGACAGTCATAAATAATGGAATAAATAATTGTAACTGTAGATTCAGAAGGCAAAAATACTAATATTTTTAACTTCTGAACCTACAATTGCAATTTGGCCCATTATTTATGATTCACCCTGTATATAAAATTCTCTTTTTTAATATTTTCAAAATTTTGAGTTATTTTATTAGTTATAGTTAGGAAGGATTATTTCTGTTTCTTGTTATAAATAGTAGTTGGTTTTTTTTTAAATACTCTGTATAATTTTGCTTAATATATATTATTAATATTATAAATGTTTAATATTTTACTCATTTATTAAAATACAAAAATAAAGTCCACACTAATTTAACTTAATAAAAAATTACCTGTATGGTAGCGTTCGCAAATCCCACGGTCCTCATAAACGGACCGAGGGTATGTCAGGTATATGTTCGCAAATCCCACTGTTCGCAAATCCCACGTTCGCAAATCCCACGCCACCAATTTTTTGTATGTAATGTGTCTTTATTTTCATATCTATAAGCAAATTTAGACTATTTAATTTAGTGTTGTTAAAGAAACTTGTTGCTAACAATACACAAAATCAAACATTACATCAAAATGTAAAGTCAAACAGTGAAAATCTGCTTTAAAGGTACATGCGAATTTGAAAATTACGCTGCCAGTGACGTCATGCGCAGAATGGACGAGTTTTGGACACGGGAATATCATGCCCTGCGTTTCACGTAATTAACTCCGAGTGACGTTGTTTAAGGACCGCCCACTGTGCGCGACATCCTACCTTTAGTTGTGTACATCGTGCCTGATACTGACTATTCGTATGCAGTATTGCAGCATGTGCATGTCGCCGAATGCAAATAACGAGGAAAAAAGTGATAGCCACAAAACAAAGCTAGGCGCTAGGAGTGCATTAGAGGTTGGGGCGGCCGTGTTCACATTTACGTACTTGCGTCTTCGCACTTCGCAGATTATACAGGTAAGTAATTTCCAAGGTGATTTCTATTCTGAATATATTAATAATAATAATAAAAAAATTTGTATTATATTCGGCTGGTTCTCAAGTTTATATTATTTTCAACTGAATTCATCGAACAAGAAAAAGTCGATACGAGAAGCATATCCCGTACCTACACATAAATTTGTTTTCACTTTTACATTATATTAGTTACACTGAATAATGTGAAATTGTTAAGTAAATTCATGGAAATATAGAATGATTATATTGATTTGAAAAAAAACTACAATGTAACTTTTATTACAGTGACAAAATGTCTGAGAGAAAGACAAAGCGATTGTCTGGTGCATTCTATCGACATCAAAAGAAGAGGAAGACTGTCGAAAGAGAAGAATTGAGAGGAGCCTTGAATAAATTTAGAATACCCCAAAAAAATACAGCGACGCAATCTACATCATCTTCGGCAGAACCAGCAACAGTTGAACAAGAAGGTAAGACGGTTAACGACAAAGATACAAGTTCCTCTTCGGAAAACGAAAATGATGTGCCAGAAGTTTTAGAGGACATCGCGGAGAGCAGAGATTTCGATTTTGCAGACGCTGGGACGTGGCCACGTTTACTTTCAAATTCCAACATCCAAATGTTGGTTGAAAAGGGACCAACCCAAATCGAAATTAACTTTCCTGTTGACGAATTTGGTCGAAGATTCTCTTTGACCCAGTATATACGCGTTTTATTAAATGGTGAGAAAATAAAACGACTATGGTTGGTGTATTCTACGAAACTCGACAGAGTATTTTGCTTTCCCTGTAAAATTTTTGGTAATCAACAAATACAGTTAACCGGTACAGGATTCAATGACTGGCGACACTTGGCTGTCAACGTTTCGAGACATGAACAAAGCTCAGATCATATTAGCAATAGCAACAAATGGTCACAATTAAAAGATAGATTAAAAACGAATACGACAATAGATGATGCGAATCAACGTGTTTATCAATTAGAGAAAAAACGGTGGCGCGATATTATAGGACGTTTGATAGCAATTATACAATATCTCGCAGTCCAATGTCTTGGTTTTCGTGGCACAGAAAATACATTGTTCACACAGCATAACGGCAATTTTCTTAAAGCTGTAGAGATGATAAGTAAGTTTGATCCAGTGATGCTGGAACATGTTCAAAATATTCAGGTATCTCAGATAGCAACTAAAAAATCTAATATACCTCATTACCTAGGAGTACATTTTCAAAATGAAATTATTCATTTACTTGCCTCAGAAATCAAGAAAACTATAACAAAAACCATACGAAGCGCCAAATACTATTCAATTATATTGGATACAACGCCAAGCATGCTCCTTTCATCACTTTTCGACGTTTTTTGACGTTTTCTTTTCGAGGTTTCGTTTGATGTTTTCGTTTAACGCTTTCGTTTGATGTTTTAGTTTGACGTTTTTGATGTACTTATTATACTTATCACTAATATTTTTCTAAGTTTTAGGACTTGCTCTGACGACATAGTCTAAGCGAATGACTTACTCATTATTTATACAAGTATTGAGCTGGTATTCAGCGGGTATTGAGCTGTTATTCAGCTGGTATTGAGGTGTTATTGAGGAGATATGAACCTTTAAATGAAAAGTGTGTTTTCAACATTGGCTGCTTTAATGTTAAATGCCATATTATTGTATGTTGAAAATAAGATATAATGAAAAACAAAAAATGAGAATTCTATGAAGATATCTGTAGAGATCATTTTGTAGAAATTAAAAAATGAGAAACTAAAATACATGAAAGGATAATCTTGTAAAAATAGTGTAAGTGATGATGATAATAATGGATGAGAGCTGGATTATTTTTAGGACAAAGGAAAAATGAATAGAAATGCTGGAGCAATATGACGACTATCGATAATTGCTTTTGAGTGAGTGAAAAGTTTTTAATTTTGCTGGGTTTAATATTTAATGTTTTTGGTTGAAAAGAAGATGTAATAAAAAACAAAATGAGAATATTGTAAAGATAACTGTAGAGATAATTTTGGTAAGTGGTGATGCTAAATTTAACGAGCGATATCATATTTCTAGGACATCAGCAACTAAATAAGTACGAATAGCGTAACTAATGAAATGTCAATAATTATGACAAAAGTGAGTACAATGGTTTACAGATGTCTTTAACGATAGCTGTTACATTTTTAGGCTGAATAAACAAACTAAAAGCTGTAATGACTGATGACATATTTTTAGGATAATGAAAGATACAATATAATTAAGCGAGGATACCATACTGAAATGTCAGTAATTAATGAAAAAAGTGTGTTGAAAATAAGATGTAATTGCAAATAAAACAAATGGATAACTAAGTGAAGATACTTCGAGTACAATCGGACGACAGCTGTTAGACGGTTTTCTGTAGTTATTTTAAAAAAGATGTTCGGCAGCTTTCAATCTGCAGCTGTTAGTTTTTGTATTTATTTTTAATAAGATTAAATCCTGTTTTTATCAATATACAATGACACATGAACGTAGAATATTTTTATTGTACTTGTAAGTAATAAGGAAATGACTATGATGTATGACTAAAATGATTCCGCACGATGCACAGGCGTTCTTCTTAGACTCAAATACTGAACTTTTGATTGTTTCCTTCACGTATTCAGAGATCCAGAGAAGCAATGTGTCCTTGGTTATTACAGTTTCTATACTAACCAATTACGGCCCCTTTAACAATGCCGCAGCGTGTATTCTTTAAAGATTTCTACGATTTTATATTCCTTTTTTTGTGATTTTCTATGTCACCCTTTCAACGTTTCGCTTTTCCTCTTCTCCAGTAGTTTTTTGTTCTTCGTCTTAGGCCTGTACATGTTTTCTAGGTATTATTCAAAGTTTTGACCTTTTTTGGCTTCTCGTATCAATAAATTTTAAGGAGGTTGTCTATGAATTTCGTTGATTTTCTACGAATATCCAACTGTCAACGTTTTGTCCTTCCTTTTCTTCTTCAGTGGTTTCTTTTTCATCTTGGGTCTACACTGTTGTATGAGTTTCTTCAACGTCTCCTATTTGTCTTTCCTTGTCCTACCCTATGTATACTCCTCCATGTATCAGTTGTCATTCTTTAACATGTATAGGTTGATGCGAAGTTTGATGCGCAGATACTTGTTGCATTTCTTGTTTAATTTTTTTTGTTTCAAAGGTATTTGCGTGCTTGTTTTGTTGACTTTTCATCTCTTTCAGCTCTGCAACTTTCTGTCCAGGCTCAGATGCACTTATTTTTAGTAATGACTCCTATGGTCTTTTTACCCCTGTAGGTTTACTTGAGAGATTACCAAGCAAAACACCCTATATTTTAATCAACAAGTAGGTGAAAGGTGAAAAATTTGGCCTTATACCAACATTCTATTGCCTCATGAACTTTTTTGGTACACTCTGTATTGCTACTATTTTAAAAATATGTTTACAATCAAATTCCAGGAAATAAACTGATAACAATTTCCGTAATAATACGATTTCTAAAATAAATATACCTATTCATTTATAGTTTAATTTTGGCGAGTGCATGTGCAATAATAATTAAAAGTATCATCTTTTGAACTGTTTATATTATATCGGTTGAATAGTTGGGTACTTGCAATTATATATTGTTCTTATCATCATCTCAACATGTGATTCAGTGATGTGTTAAGTGATTTTAATTTGGATACATCAAATAATTATGTGAGTACTAGCTTTTACAATTTTTGTTTCGGCCTTTATTTAAAAACTAAACGCTGCTGCAAAGTTTGTGACGTCACCATTTCTTTGTTATTATTTTTACTTTTGATATTCCGTTTGATATCGCCCTTTGTATCTTTTTGACAGTTGACATTGTTGACAACGTCGATGGCTATTTTATCCTGCTTGCATTTGGTGCATCTCAGGTGTTCTCTTTCGCCCCTTCCCCGCCCGTTGACATGTCCAGCTGGCATCGAAGCGTCGTTGCACAATGCGATGTTTCGTGGTGTCATGTGTGTTGCCTAATTATTTAAATAGGTCTACGTTGTCTACCGTTCATAAGACGTTTTTCGGTAATTCTAGTTTTATACGACGAAGTAAAATTTATTTAATTTATAAAATAATATATCTATCGATGTGGGGCGCTCTGACTCGAATATAATATTATTGTATTTATTAAACTATGGCTCTGGGGCTTTTCTGTCGCTCGATGTCTGTAATGCAATTTATAAAATACTGGGGGGCTCTAGGGCTTTTCTTGTGCTCGATGTCTGTAATGCAATTTATAAAATACTGGGGACACTAGGGCTTTTCTATTGCTAAAAAAAAAAAGAAGAAGAATGCGTAGCTAACTTCACTCTCTGCGACGTTGCATTTATCAGTGGCTTTTCTGGCGATGTCTGGGGAAAATGTAAAAATACTTGCATCTACCCCATGTAATGCGACGTTGCCATATCTACAAATTTCATTGATACTTTCCCAGATTTGTGGAAAACAAATGCGTAGCTAACTTCACTTTGACAGTCCCGCAAAAAAAGAAGAATAGCCGAATAGCCCTAGCAGCTGAGGCTGAGAAGAAGAAAAATGACATTTGACACTTGAGCATAAAAAAAGAAGAAGAATGCGTAGCTAACTTCACTCTCTACTGCGCTCAAGTGTCTCCCCTTCTACTACTACGCCAGATGTTGGCCACGTCAATCAAATAACTTTTATCGTACGAGTAACAGATTGCACCTCCGATTTCACTACCGCTCCGAAAGTGAAAGAATTCTTCTTGGGTTTCTTTCCAATAGAGGATACAAAAGGTGAAGGTTTCTTCCTGTGCGATATACTTTTGCCAGAGTTTGATCTGGACTTGAAAAATATGCGAGGCCAAGGATATGATAATGGGTCAAACATGCGAGGAAAGCGAATAGGCCTTCAACAAAGAATTTTGACTGTCAATCCAAGAGCTTTCTTTGTTCCCTGTGCAGCGCATTCGTTGAACCTAGTAGTAAATGATGCAGCAAAAATAACATTAGAAACCATACATTTTTTCGATTTGATTCAGGAACTATATGTTTTCTTTTCATCGTCAACATACAGGTGGCATATTTTTAAAAGCAAAGTGCCACAATTAACACTTAAACCTTTAAGCGAGACGCGCTGTGAGAGTAGAATTGAAGCCATTCGTCCCGTGAGATTTCAATTTGCATCGATTTGTTCAAGTTTGGAGTTTCTGATAAACGACGAGTCTCGCGATTTGAAAACGAAGCATATGGCCAACACATTGTACGATAAAATTAATGATTTTAAGTTTGTTTGCTCATTATTGATCTGGCAAGAATTGTTATCTAAAATTAATGTGGTTAGCAAAATGTTGCAAAAGAGTGATATTTGTATAACAGAATCAATTAATGCTTTGAACAATTTAAATAAATTTATTAATGAATGTAGAACTGATGACAAATTTAGGAAATTCATTGACGAAGCAACCTTGTTTGCAGCTGAACATGAAATTGAACCAGAATTTCCAGTGCCAAGGAAACGAATCAAAAAAAGACTTTTTAATTACGAGGGACAAGAAGATCAAATAATCGATGCAACACTGAAATTCAAAGTTGATTTCTATTTTTCTATATTGGATACAGCAAAAGAAGCGCTCTAAGAAAGATTCGACCAACTGCAGAAATGTAGCGATATGTTTTCTTTTTTGAATAACTTGTTCGATTTGAACGACAATGCAATTAAGAAGAATTGCTCTGATTTAGATATTGCATAGAAGTAAATGATGGAATATCAATTTCGAAAGATATAGATGGAGTAGAGCTATATACTGAATGTTTATCGTTCAAGGCATTATTTAATTCTGAAGTGTATAAGAGTAAGGATATATTAAAAAAAATTGTTTGCAACGATTTGGATCACTTGTTTCCTAATTTGGCAATAGCAATAAGATTGTATTTGACGTTACCAGTAACCGTTGCAAGTGGAGAAAGATCATTTTCAAAATTAAAAATTGTTAAAAATATATTAAGGTATTTGGAAATAGCAATTAGATTGTATTTGACGTTACCAGTAACCGTTGCAAGTGGAGAAAGATCATTTTCAAAATTAAAAATTGTTAAAAATTATTTAAGGTCAACCATGATACAGGAGCGCTTATCTGATCGAGCTCTTTTATCAATAGAGCACGACATATGTGAAAAAATTGATTATGCCAAAGTAATAGATTAGTTTGCGGCGAAAAAAGCTCGTAAAGCGCCTCTCTAAAATTTTATTTTATTATTATTGTATTATCATTATTATTTTTATTGTATTCTGAATAAAGCACTTATGTATTATACTGGTTTAAATATTTTTCCAATTGTCAAGGTGAGGGTGGGGGCGGCGAAAAATTGTTCCGCGCGCAGGCGGCTGTAGCTCTAGGAACGGCCCTGACTGATGCAACCAAGAATCTTTGTGGATTTACCAGCTTAGAAATAACAAGACCAGAATTTAAAGTGCCATCGCTTGCGTTGAAAATTGAGTACTCTTTAAAAAATGCGCATTCATACTTAAAGGTATAGCTTTAAGAAAAGGTATCTTAAAGCAAAATTAATTAATAACATCTCTGATGGAAATGGAATGAGCCCGAAAAATATCTTTTCAAGCTTTGTCAACGCTTTATAAAAAAAAATTAACCACAGAGAACTTTTGCCTTTAGCTGAGGATTTGGTTGGTTTAACCAAATTTTTGGATAATAAAATATTTTACTTCAAGAAAATTTTAAAAATTGCCCTACCTACAACTTGGAAAATTCTAGCATCCGCAGTCTTATATAGAATAATATTGTTTAACAAAAAAAGAAGCGGTGAAGCTGCGAAAAGACTATACAACAATACGCTACCAGACCAACTTTTAACGAATGTAGTACGCAAGAATTAATAATGTCATTGTCACCGTTGGAAAAAAATTAGCGTCAACTATGGAGGTGATTGGCATTGAGGGAAAAGGTGGACGTCGAGTATCCGTTATATTAACTCCCAAAATTAAGTAAGCAATTGACACTTTAATTAGTAGGTCAATTGTCGGAATATCAGAAAAAAATCACTATATATTTTGTTATTTATACAGTAAAACCGGCCACATAAGAGGCTATGAATGTTTAAAAACTGTAATGAAGCTAATTTAAAGCAACCTGAATTAATAACGGAAAAGATTAAGGAAATATGTCGCTACTGTAACGAAAATGAGTGTGACTGGTTAGTCAAACACATGGGACACCACATTCGAGTACATCGAAATTTTTATAGGTAACTATAATTTGTTTTTAATGTTTAAATATCCCGTTTGGAGCATTTCGCACATTACAATCTGATCAAAACCAGATCAAAGTTAAATTTAATCTAATTCAAATTAGTATGGTTGAAACTCTTAAACCTATGGTTTACTATTACTTAGGTTCTAGCAATTTCATTAGACTAAAATTTAACGTGTTACTGCATCACTATGCTCTGCTTTAAACTGACATAATCAGTGTACTAGCTAACACAGCTTGTTCCTTCTCGGGTCTTCTTGTGTGTTGTCGAGAAGTTGGATAGCCTCCATATTTACGTGATGAAAGATCCCTTATTGTTCATAAATATAGTTTGTACAAATCGCTATTCATTCATTCATATAATTTTTGTTTTTAGGCTGCACGCAAATGCTGTGGAAGCCACCAAAATTAGTAGGTTGTTATTGGCGATTGAAAAAGGAGAAGCAAAAAATGTAACGAAAATATATTAGACTAGATAAATGTAGACGGTACCTACCTGCCTTATTTGTATTTATTAAAACATTAATATTTAAGTTTAAACAGTAATGTGCTTATTAAAAAATATGTTTTAGATTTGCCGTCTTTAGAAGAAGATAACCTGGAGGTGAAGTAGACGACGAAGTTGAAGACAATTTAAGTGTTGAAAATGATGGTAAGTGAGAAAAGTTTATTAAATTATATGTAATACAGTAATCTCTAGCTGCTAAAAAGTTTTAGGGAATTTAAACAAAAATATTCAGTTTAAGGCAAAGCTAATCATTTCATTTTTAAAACTCTCAAGTAAGACAAGAAATAGAAATGAGTGTAAAATTGACAAAGGAAGATGTAAGGACAAATTTTAAAAACAGAATGTGGGCAAAAAAAATCACTAAATTAGAGTTCGAGGTGCAACTCGACGGGACAATGGTAGTGACATACGGGGATACTGGACGCTCGTTGACTCCAGGACAGGACGTCCAAAAAATTACTGAATTGTACAGGACATCGCACAAGGACCCTCGAAAAAGTGAAAAAAAATACCGAAAAGGCGGATTCTGGAATTGGAAGTGCCGGTATTCGGACAGGCGCAACAGAAGTCTAGGAAGATAGAGAAGTGCATCAGTTGCCTATGTCCATGCCACGAGAGTATAGTGTAGGGACACCTCACTAGTTAAGGTTTAATTTTTGTTTGTTCATTAAGTTCATTAAAAAAGCCATTTATCTATATAAAAAAAATTAATTTAATTTTTTCACACGTTGCTTGTTTAGTTTTTATAAATTTATAAAAAAAATCTTTATTTTGAGTCTATTATATTTATACATAATTTACGCTTAATCCACACAATGTACAATTTTACTTTTATTTTATTCATAAATTATAAATTTATACTCTCATAAATTTGTCCCATTTAAGTTTGTACTTGTATAGTTGAGTTATAATTTAACCTATGTAATAATTTTACTTTTATTTTAATTATGCATTTATTTATGCATTTAGAATTTGCTTCAGGCATATGTGTGTGTGTATGTGTATGTGGGTGCGTGTGTGTGTCACGCCGCTCTAAATTCCGACGCCTACGTCTCAATGTCCCTGATAAATATCCCGACACAAGATAATGCTTCCGTACCGAAAATGCTGTGGAAGCCACCAAAATTAGTAGGTTGTTACTGGCGATTCAAAAAGGAAAAGCAAACAAATTTAACGAAAATACATTAGACGAGATAAATGTAGACGGTACCTACCTGTCTTATTTGTATTTCATAAAACATTATTATTTATGTTTAAACAGAAATGTACTTATTAAAAAATATGTTTAGATTTGCCGTCTGTAGAAGAAGATAACCTTGGAAGTGAAGTAGACGACGAAGTTGAACACAATTTAAGTGTTGAAAATGATGGTAAGTTAAAAAAGTTTATTATACTATATGTAATACAGTCATCTTTGGCTGTTAAAAAGTTGCCGAAAGTAATTTAAATTTTACTTTTTTTTTTTAAATAGTGTAATTAAATTTTTCTTTTTTGCTATAAATTGGCAATTTCGAAAGTTATTGAAAACATTCAGTTGAATTTGTTGTGCAAGTTGCATTTCCTAAAATGTAGGGAGATTTAGTACATCAACAAATTTGTCATACCTTTCAAAATTACCAAGGGATAGCTAAATAATAAAAATATTATTTTTCGTATTTTATTACATATCTTCAAAACCATTTTAGTAAAATTTTAGGGAATTTAAACAAAAATATTCAGTTTAAGGTAAAGTTATTCATTTCATTTTTAAAACTCTCAAGTAAGACAAGAAATAGAAATAAGTGTAAAATTGACACATGAAGATGTAAGGACAAATTTTAAAAACAGAATGTGGGCAAAAAGAAATGTCACTAAATTAGAGTTCGAGGTGCAACTCGACGGGACAATGGTAGACATATACAGGGATACTGGACGCCCGTTGACTTCAGGACGAGACGTCCAAAAAATTACTTATCTGTATTTAATAAAACATTATTTAAGTTTGAACAATATTAGGTATTTGTAGAACTTGTAAATGTAAAAAATGAGCAAAATCGACAAAATCGACAAAATCGCTACTGGTTTTCAGCAGATCAAAACAACGAGCTCAAAGCATCAACTTTCGTTTTGTGCATTCTAGATTATCTAAAGAAAAAGTGTATTCCAACATAGGTACCAATTATTATTTATTCTGATGGACGCACATATCAGAATCGTAATAATATAAAGGCTAATGCACTTCTTAACTTTTCCCTCAAGCATCAAGTGACCATTTTTCAAAATTATTTGAAAAGTGCGCAAACCTTTATGGAGTGCGATTCAGTACATGCGGCTATAGAACGAAAATTGAAAAATCGTGAGATACGTCTACCCAGCGACTATCTATCTGTTACCAGAGAAGCACGTCAAAACCCTAAACCTTATGAAGCTCTGGATTTATCCTATAGCTTATTTTCCAACTTTTCTCTAACGGAACATTTTAGATACCATTCGATTCGCCCTGGAAAACTAATAGATGATTCAACGATTACCGATATAAAAGCAATAAAATATGAAAACTCAAAAATTCAAGTAAAACTAGATTATAATATAATATAATATAATATCCCCGTTTGCATACTCAAAGATGCAAAATTCCCGTAACCAAATGGAAGCATCTTTAGGAATTGAAGTCAGTCTTACCAAGGGATGTTCACCATTTTACGACAATTTGCCGCACTAATCCATTTTGTTCGTTATTACAATTTCACGTTAATCGACTAAAAATAATTAAATAATTCGTTTAGTTTTATTTTTTTACTTTCGTACTTTGAAAATAAAGTGTATGTTTTTTATTTTACGTTCTTGGTTTTATTTACTTTAATCATAAGTTAAAATCTCCTATGTACCCTTTACCTAAATATCATTTTCTCCTATCTTTAAAAAAAAAATTAATAATAAAAATATTGAAATTTATTTAACTTGGCCTTTTTATGCACGTAATACAACAAGTTTCCTTATCGCAAACTAAAAAGTTAAAAAATAAGAGTAATAAACCGTTTTTTTATTTTCCTGAAAAGTTAGCCTAACAACAGTTAGGAGATATTGCAGGCTCCTAGTCGATATGTATCGTTATGTGGCTGTATCACTAAAGAAGTTCTAACACCTTGCTTTACTTTCCCCTTAATTTTCAGCTAGTGAAATATTCTTTATAAGCGCAAGCGACAATTAAAGCCCGTCACTTGTGGCTACCGATTACCTGGATCTACGTAATCTTTGATCCATGGAATTTTTCATCTCCATCTGTAGCTACCCGAGACGCCGCTTCAAGAGTTTGTGGAGTAAACCACACCGTTTAGCAGAAGTAAGCGGCATCAGAAAGGTAAGCAAATTTTCTTTAGAGCTTGTACAGCATATTTGGCCAACTTAATAGTAAAACTTTTCATTAATTGGATTTGCAAATATTGTATAGCCCGACTGGTAATTATTTGCATTTTCTTATTATAAATGGGGATACATTGCACCTGGGAAATATTGATAAATGATTAGGTACTCCTTTTTTTCAGAGCTACCTCTAAAAATGGGAAGAGTGCATAAAAGGACACCTGGTTCTTGATGATACTGTGATTATACCCCTGAAACTTTGGAGAAATGTTTGACTGCTGTTTAGAATGGAATGAAAAGCAGAAGAAACTTTCAAAATACCCAGAAGAACAATAAATAATAAGTTAAAGAAAAAACATTCACTTAAGCTAGGATATCCACCCATAAAATTATTTTCCTGGAAGGGAATGGATAAAAAACTTCTTGAAACGACATCAAGAACTAACAGTTAGATTTGCAAGCAATATAAAACGCAGTCGAGCCGCCATAAATAAAGAAACTTTGACGGAATATTTTGAAAACCTTAAAAACACTTTAGCTGACATTCCACCAGAAAGAATTTGGAATTATGATGAGACAAATCTCAGCAATAACCGTGGTTCTAAAAAAGTTTTGACAAAGCGCGGGACTAAGTATCCAGAAAAAAATTGCAGTTCCTCCAAATCCAGTATTTCCCTGATGATGGCCGAAAACGGAGCCGGGGAACTCTTACCTCCATACACCGTGTACAAATCATTGCATATGGGATACATGGACAGAAAATGGACCGGTCTTCAGGATGGTTCGAGTCTCACACGTTTTCTGATTGCTGTATGTCATTGCTGCTTCCTAAGCTTATTTATTTAGAAAATAAGAGAACTGAACTTACGTCCATCAAACCCATAAAAAAGAAGCGTCTTCAGGTGGCTTCAACAAGTACCTTGATTAACTTCGACGATGAAGAACAGCAAATTTCTCAGAAACGGCATAAGGTCTTTACATTATGCTTAATTTATATCTTAATTTAATTACAAATTTAGGATGTTATTTGGAAGCGTGTAAAATATATACATTTACAACCTAATTTATATTATAAATTCTGAACCAAATTTTTAGGATATGTTCTATTTTCCATCACAAATCAACTCGTAAATATGCGCACAAGTGACAATTTATTATTAGGGGTTATGTTTTAAGTTTTGGGTGTGGTTCTGTTTTGGTTTTGTTCTCACTGTAGTTGGCGAGTTATTATTTAAATTGTTTTAACTTCTTTCAATAAGTATCTTACTTGAAAATATCTTGGTCAAGACAAAAAGTGGAAGAATTAATTGATGCCTATTTTGTACATCCGTGTCTATACAATGTGCATTTAAAGTTGTATCACAACAAACATGCACGAAATGCATTAGAAAGTATATAAGAAGCATTATCTACTGTAAGGCCAGGCATAACAATTCCAAAAAAAAAGCAAATGGAATGGATTGAAAACAAATTTTTCTACAGAACTTAAAAAAATCCAACAGTCTCAGACAAGTGGAATAGACACCGAAGATGTAAGTTATTTAGTAGTGAACTTTCATTTATTTTTGCAGTCTCGTTCATAAACATTGACAATTTAAATTTATATTTCAGATTTATACTCCATCCATTTGGTATTACAGTAAATTAAGTTTTTTATTGGATTATATCAAACCGAGGAAATCTATGGATTCAATTTCGGATCAAGTAGAGAGTGACGTTTTACATGGATAGATACGTGATGAGAAAGAAAATATGTTGTCAGTTTTCAGTTCACTCTGATATAATTATTGAGTATGAAAATGATGATAGTCAAATAGAATCGTACAGTTCCGAACGAACTGATGCACCATCAAAGCCAAGTACATCAACTTAAGACTACTCAAGTACCACGAAAAAAAAAAAAAGAAAAGAAAATTGAAGTAGATCCAGCAACAGATGTAATGCAAAATATTGCCTCTATTTTAAAAAATTAAAAGATGCCAGAAAAAAAGCGACAAAAATGAATATGCACAGTTTGTTGTTAATAAACTGGATCAAATAACGGATGAAGATATTTTGTTAGAAACCGAGGAAGAAATTAACAGCATATTGTAAATTAAAAAATGCAGGAAGCGTAAAAATTAATTATGTTTTCAATCTTTTTAAATATGCTAATCTTTGTAGGTAATGTTTAAGTATAATAGTTTTATTTTTTTTTTAATAGATTGTAATGGATTAAATAAATAAGAGTAGGATTTTGTTTTTTAATATTTTGTTTTAATTTAACCCCTTACAAATTATGTTTATTTATCGATTCTTCTTGCCAGTCTCGAGTTAACTTGTCCAATTGCTGTATTAAATTATTTTTTTATATTCTACTCTAGTTGCCCTTGCAATATTTGAGGATTTGTTTCCAAATTGAGTAGTATATTATTGTAGGCTGTGCGGTGCAAATGTGCAGTGTAACACCTGCATCCGACCACCTGCATCCGGCACATCTGGCGGCCGGTGATGTCACCGGTACATCTGGCGGCCATATGTTTCCGACACATCTGGCGGCCATCTGTTTCCGACACATCTGGCGGTCACCTGCATCCAGCACATCTGGCGGCCACCTGTTCCCGACCACCTGTATAGCAGGCGCGGCGGCGCAATTCTTGGAAACGACGTCACACCTGCATCTGGCGGCCTGTCTGGACAAGTGGGGGCAACTACATATAAATATCAACAGCTCATTTCAATAAACAGTATAAACAGTGCTTAGTAATACTAGGTTTACCCAGATGAAACATCAAATAGCTCTTAAAATATAACAAAAATCATAAAGTTGAAGCAATAGTAGGCAATATGAGCTACCCAATAATAGGCAATATGAGCTATCGGTGCGTCACTCCAGAAATAGTGATTCAAAAGACACAGAATGAATTGAAGTTAATATACAGAACATCTTCCCTTCAAGATCTTTCAGCAAACGCGTTATATTGGAGTGTTAAGGACAGAAATCCAGAAATGATTGGAATAAGTGATAAAAAATTTGTGATACCCCAGTTTATAAAGGACTACTTAAATGCGCATGTTATGATGCAATTAAAGAGACAAATTAATAAAAATGAATGAATTGGACTAAAAGTTCTAAATAAATATATTACCCGCCACTAAAATTAATTCGTGTTACTGAAAGAGAAATTGGAAATAGTACAATATATTTCGCGCCGCGGAACACATCTCTGCCTAACATAACAGGAAATATAATCTCGTTCCCTTGTGTATTTTCGTCGCAACAGCTGTGGGAACACAGAAACGCAAAGAGAAATTTTCAATTTTTTAATACAGTAATGTGAACTTAGGACGGTTTTTAAATTTTCATGAGAAATTGTTTTAGCGCCAGAAAGAGGGTGTTAATTAATTTTTTAAAAGATACATACTCTGTCATTGGCAGATACCTTTATTTGAATGATTAAGGCGTTGATTAATTTTTTAAAAATGTACATACATTACTATTGGCATAAAGAGAAAGATTTTTTTTATTTTATTTTATTATTGCCATTGGTTTATTGAAATTTATCATTGGGGTGAGAAGCACTCGTGATTGGGGGGGGGGGTATCGTTTAAATATAACTAATGTGGATTATTTTAGTTAGTTTATTAGAATCGCGATGAACCAAGTAAAAATTATAAGTCATTTCCGTATCATAGGCGGGGGTCAGTTCCAAACCGTGCTACCTGAAGAGAATCCGGATCTTGACAATTCATAAATTTATATTTCGGGGAATTATCAACCGATTGGATCACGTCGAATTAAAAAAATGTTTCGAGGTGCCGTAACTTCAACTCCGCTACTAGATGACTGGTTCGAAAACGTTTCGACTGATGAAATATTCAGTGATTTATCGTGGTTGAGACGCCCACGACTTCCATGCTGTCACCTTTTGAAACCAGAGCCGAAGACCTAGAACCATCCACTTCCGAGCTACCACCTTCTGAAACCAGAGCCGAAGACCTAGGACAATTCACTTCCGAGCTAACACCTTTTGAAACCAGAGCCGAAAACATAGAACCATCCGCTTCCGAGCTACCACCTTTTGAAACCAGAGACGAAGACCTAGAGCCATCTGCTTCCGAGCTACCACCTTTTGAAACCAGAGCCGAAGACCTAGAACCATCCACTTCCGAGCTACCATCTTCTGGAACCAAAGCCGAAGACCTAGGACCATCCACTTCCGAGCTATCACCTTCTGGAACCAGAGCCGAAGACCTAGGACCATCTACAGAGCTTGTCTCACCCCCTGAAAATGAAGGCAGAGTCATCAAATCTGCAAGCGATCTATCCTTATCTGATGAAGATGCCGAAATTTGCAACTACCAGAGACAATTAGGTGCATTTCTTGAAATAAACAATCAGTTTTGCGATCAAACTTTAAAACTACAAAACAATTTAAAGAAAAAATCGTTTAAATACGAAACGAACGTTTCACGCATCAAAAAACGTATAAACAAACTCATTAAATATGGTGATATGGCAATAAATTTAAAAACTTTGTACAAAGATATAAATAAATAATTTTTAAATATAACTATTGTTTCAATTGATTTTAATTTTTTAGGTACTAAACTAAAAACCCTCAGCTATTACTTTTCAGTGTTTAATTAGCACTAACCCTTCCTTAGTGGTTATCGCAGTAAATCTGCAAAATCCATCTTTCAAATGATAATTAAAAAAACATTCGAACTTACAATTTAACGTTTATCCATATAATCAGCAACTATCATTAAATAAAATTTATAATAGCCGAACTGCACAGAGTTTTGATTTCACAGTAACAGCACGTAACAAATAATTTTTTTTATTAATCCACAAAAAATAATTTTTTATTAATCCACACAACAAATAATTTTTGTTAATCCACACAACAAATCAGTTTATCATAAACAACGAAACCACACCTAGATTTTAAAAAACATCTGGTCCAGAATTTCAGTTTATAAATTTTTTCAAATTACATTTTAACGACCATAGATCTTCTGTTGGAGTGGGCATTTCAATTGGCTGCAGTCTTTTCCAAATTGACTTGCATGTTGAATGGATAATTTCTCTTACAGTGGTATGGCCGAGTCTATAAATAAAAGCTATCGTTTTGAATGAATCTCCAGTTGCCAAGAATCTACAACAAAGAAATATCCTAACTAGCAATTTTGGTAGAAATTATTTAATCACTACACTATACAGACAACTTTTTGATAAATTTTACTAGGGAAAAACGTCATAAGTAATTATCGGACATAAAACACATATACAGGGTGTTTCAAAAGGAAGCCGACCCAATAACCACAGATCAATTGCATTAAAACTAATATGACGGATTGGCCTCCTTTTTTGAAACACCCTGTATTTCTCAAAATAGGGAATATTATTAGGGTTTTTTACTAAATTATTTTTTTTTCAGCATCCGCTTGTAAAGAAAGATGGTCGCGGTTGCGTGATAATTATAGAAAGGCACTGAAGTTTCGAAAGGGTAAAAGTGGAGACGCTGCTGTTAAAATAAAGCCATATAAATTTGAAGCAGAGATGTCATTCCTGAAAAATATTTGCCAGATCGAGATCAAAAAACAAATGTTACCGAATCGTTTACGTCTGCTGTTAATAGGCCAATACCTTCTGAGGATGGTGAAGATGATCGAATGGAAGACACTGTAGATCTGAGTGATTTAGAACTTTCAAGACCAGTCTCAACAGCTTCTAATATTTGGCCGTTATTAAATGAACAAATATTGGTCAAGTTATACTTACGATAAAATTGTGGAAATTCTTAATGAAATATTGCGTATATTAGATATCTATATGTGATTAAAAGTAAAAAAATATTTACAGTGACTCTACCATGGATTTAACTAATTGATTGCTGGCCAACTAGATCGATTCTTATATGAGACCTAGTAGTTGAGTTGTAACACGGCTTTTCCCTTAAGTAGGCCATGGCATATTGGCCAGTAGAATCATTTATCATAGCAATGACTTCGGATGGCATTATTTCAAAAATGCGTCTCGGTAACCAACACTGGAAAAGCTCCTGTGAGTGCCAATCAATTAGATGAATAAGTAAACATTTACCATATCTGGTATCTTCGACCAATATCGTTTTAATAATATAAAGTTTACCTATAACCAATGACTTTAGTTCTCTTTGGTCCAATATTGTGGGTCAGTCTCCAAGTAATTTATTAACCGCATCAATTTGCGTTTGAGCCATAGTAGAATACAAATAAATATTTTTTCACCTGTATAATACACAATACTACACTCAGTTATTATTTGAAACTTCTAAAGACTCTTAAAGCTTACGACTTTAAACTGATTCCATTTGGATATGAGGTCGCTATATATCCTCCCTAAAAATCCCCACCTCCACTATGTTTTCCTTCTCAATATTCATAGTATGTTGTAACGTTTAAATTTGGCCTTATAGCGGTTTTTCATAAAAATAAGAATATACTAGTTTTGTCCGTGTTTCAATAATTATTTGATGGGTCCTTCTATACCCGCATTTTTAACCACTGTGCTTTTGGTTCGGTATTCGGACAGAGCGGTCATTCTGTGACACTCTGGGGAGCATGTGGCTGCCCTGTATTTAAGATGTCGGTCTAGCATTTCCGCTTTGATGTTACGTGCGAGTATATGATCAGTTTGGGGGTAGATAGGACCTCTATTTGAGTTTAGTTAGGCTGTTTATTTCGTTTTAGAGGATGTGTTTGCTTATTTTAGCCCTCTCTGTCAAGAATTTATTTCGTAATAGAGGGCGCTGATGGGACACCTATCTGTCACTGAGGTATGTTGGTATTACTGGTTTTTGGAATTTTAAGTGACAGATTTCTGGATTTTTTTAGACGGTTATTCGACACGAGGTTTTTAATTTGAAAGATTGTTTCGAAATTTATTGGAAGTCGTTTCAATCCATTTGGGATATTGCGAAGCAACCTTTTGTGTTAAGTTACAACAGTGTGGATTTGGTAGTATTTTTGGTTTCCACATGTTGTAGGAGCTCCTAGGAGGATATATTTAAAACACGTGTTGATTATGTGCACATATATACGTAGTCTCTCTGAATAAGCCGTCCACAAATTTGTCATTCAATTGATCTGGTGGGTGCATCGTGTTCCCCTTTGCGGATTAAAAAAGGGGTTCTTGTGGCGGGCACACACACTTCTTGTGACAGGCTGATACTTCTTGTGACGGGCAGTATTCTTGTGACGGGCAGTATTCTTGGTACGAGCCAGTATTCTTGTGACAGGCTGATACTTCTTGTGACGGGCACACACTTCTTGTGACGGGCCACACTTCTTGTGACAGCTGATTGATTCGTAGGCTGCTAACGAGGCAGAGATATCAACGTCTACTGGAAGAAGTCACCGTGTACCGCAAGTTTTGCTATCTTTTTTTTATTTTATCATTTATTACTATTTAATCTATTTTATTGGGGGGTGTTATTAGTATATATTTTATCTAAACCTAATGTAAACGAGGCTTAGGGGTTTATGGTTCACAGTACAGTTTATTAAACCCGAAACACTTCACCAAGAGCTCTTCGTGGGTTATATATTATTATGGGTAATTAATATTTTAATAAGTAACAGCATTTTACTTGATTTTACCCCTAGCGTCCGTAATTAGTACACTATCATTTGTTTTCTTGATAAATACAGTACACACTTCATGTGTTATAGTTTTACGATTACCCCTAGTCCCATTTAATGATTTTTAAGCTTGAAATAGTATAATAGTTGTAATTATTACTCCCAGTGATACTGGATTACTGTTAATAGTTGGGGAATCTGTTATTAAGGTACTAAGTGATTCAATTATTTGTTTATTTGTTAAATTTACATACATACATTTCATAGTGGTAACGAAGTTGACCCCCCATGTCAACACAATAATTTATATATTTAGATTATTAAACTTGGGTATATATTATTAGTTAACTTATTATTTATCCCCACTTGCCAATTGTCTATAAACATCTGGTTGAGCATTTGTTTTTAAGGTAAAGTACACTTTTAACATATTTGGAGTTTCTCGATTTGTAGCCGCTTGATGGCCTTGTAGAGGAGAGGCTATAGTTTCCTATTTGGAGTTTGGTAGTGAACCGTCACGTGGATTGTTGGATGTGAGGTTAAGCTCCTGGCGCCCACTGAAGAACATAACTTTTACTACGACTCACCCCTTCTTCACTGTAGTTAGTCGGCATCCAACTTTGGATTGACATAAATCCACCTCGGTGCTTAGGCACAGAAAGTAGGTAGCAATGTAATATAGAATACAATAGTAATCACTAGGAGGTAAATAGTAATGACTATTTAAGCGGTACTTACAAGGCGTATAGAGTAATGAGATGTACTTACTATGCTCATTACACTACTCAATTACGTTCATTAAAGTATATAATTTACAGAATAAATGGGAGGCACTTGCTAATTGCGCGAAGGGTGGGATACTACCCCTTCCAACAATATTTACATCGCGCGTGTCTGCCGAAGACCGGTGATTCACTTTAGCTATGGCGGTTGAGAGTCAAGGGTGTGCATGGCGCCGACTTATTTCCCCTATGCTACAACAGTAATCAAGAGAAGTACTTAGACTTATTACACTACGTGATATACACAGTAAATACTGTCTGAGAGGTATGCATATGGTGTAATGAGAGGTACTTACTATGCTCATTACGCTAGGCAATTACACTCAGTACAGAATAATTGGTTGGTACTTACATCGCTATGTGTAATGAGAGGTACTTACTATACTCATTACACTATGCAATTACACTCATTACACTATGCAATTACACTCATTACACTATGCAATTACACTCATTACACTATGCAATTACATGGCGAACAGAGTAATTCGGAGGTACTTGCTAATTGCGCGAAGGGTGGGGGGTACTTGCTAATTGCGCGAAGGGTGGGGGTACTTGCTAATTGCGCGAAGGGTGGGGGGTACTTGCTAATTGCGCGAAGGGTGAGGGGTACTTGCTAATTGCTCGAAGGGTGGGGGGTACTTGCTCGAAGGGTGGGGGTACTTGCTCGAAGGGTGGGGGGGTACTTGCTCGAAGGGTGGGGGGTGGGTACTTGGGGTAATTACTAATTACACCAATTGCCTCTGACCTTGGTCCAGAACTGGCTAATCCCATCTACTCATGAGGCAGTAGTTTGTTATTGTATGGCATTGACGGCATTTGTAGAGAAAGTTATTTTTTAGTTATGGATAAAGATCTATTAATTAGTGAAATTTACAAAAAAAACTCCAATATGGGATCAGCGACATAAATCGCATCACAACAGATATGTCTTGGATAAATGTTGGGCAGAGGTTGCTGCTAACTGCAAAGTAACAAGTAAGCTACCTATATTAAATACAAATTACGGGGTCGGTGAAGAATTCAGATGCGCGAATTTCGCAAAATTTTTGAAAACCCTAATAAGTTAAGTTTCTCGAAAAAATTCTAATAAAAAACTCAGTTTTATAGGTTATATTATGACAAATTTTGCGAGTTGAAAGCAGCAGCGTTGCCAAGTTTTAAAATAAATTTGAGTATCAAAGAAATCTAAAAATTTAATTTGCCAAATATGTACCATGGATATTGATACTACACCAGCTATTGCGGCTGCGATTTTAGAAGTCAAAATCAGTTGTTCTAACTCCTAATTTATAACTTTATAATGGCAGTTTATTGTAAAATGTTATTCCCATTTGTAATATGGATTAAATAGTTTAAAATTAAAGAAATTGAACCTAAATCTAACTAACAGGTGCCTTTGTGTCATGAATCCAAAATTAATTTATTTATGATTAGGTACTTTTAGGAAAAAAAAAACAATTTAAAGTAAACATAGTTTTAGTAAACAACATTTTTTCTTCTACCGTACATATTGTCCACTAGATTATAAATACAAAAGTTACTTTACGCACTAGTGGGTAAAAAGTTTTACTTTATACACTAGTGCGTAAAGTAAATTTAACATAAAATTTGACATTTGTGACGTCAAAATGCTAAAACTTGTTTTTACTTTACGCACTAGTGTAAAAAAGTAAAACTTTAGACTCCGTAGCGTGCGTAAAGTACGTAATTTAAGCACAATAGAAGAAAAAACATATTTCATTCAAGATTTCAATTAATTTTTTGTTTTAGGGTTTGTGGAAGAAAATTATATAAAAAGTTAGGTTAAATAGTGAAAATAATGCATTTTATTATAATATAAATTAAATCTAATTTTCCGTATATAATTTTTGTTAAAATAATATAAAAAGTAAGTTTCTTCAATATATTAGTGATAAAACTTCGATAATTGCGCATCTGGTTTGTTAACCAGAACTCAAATTACCTACTTAAATAAAGTTAAAGAGAATAAATATTTTATTATAATAGTTTCTTTATTATGTATGTGTTATAGCCTACTGTAATTACAACATATTTATTTAGGGTGTAATTTGAAAGTATTCTTTAAACGAGTTTCTCACTCATGCAGCTTCTATTGTTGCACGATTATTTTTTCTGGATGTCTGAATATCAGGTAGTATACTATCAGTCGTTGCGGTACTCTCGATGTCCTTTATTGTTACGTTTTCTTTATCTATTATGGTATTATGAAGAATACAAACCGCTTTAATAATTACATCAGCTGTGTCAGGATGTGTTTCGATAGCTTTATGTAATATTCTTCATTTCATTGTCAAAATACCAAAGCTGCATTCAACAGTTTTATGTGCTAGAGACAATCTCTTATTGAATAGCTCATTTTCTTCAGTTAGGTTGTTTCGGGCATATGGCTTCATTAGGTTTTTCAATAATGGATATGCTTCATCGCCTATCAAAACAAAAGGGGCCTTAATATCGGAATTTGGTAATAAATCCTAATCGGGGATATTCAATTTCTCCTCTCCATTAATCTATAAAGTTTCGAATTTCGAAAAGTTCCTCCATCGCTTTATTTGCCATATGCGCCAACTTCGATATAAATAAATTTACAATTGGCATCGCTGACTGCTTGCGGTACGATTGAAAAATAATATTTATAGTTAAAAAACATTGTTCCAGACCGATTGGGACATTTTATTCGAATATGTTTTCCATCTATTGCGCCGAGGCAGTGTGGAAAGTGCCATTTTTCGGTGAATGTCGGCAATCTTTTTAAAATTTTTTGAGAAGGTGGCTTCATATGTAAAGGTTGCAAACACTCCCACAACAATGAAGCAATTTCCTTCACGATGTTTGCAACAGTACTAGCCCCCAACCGAAACGAAAATGCAAGGCTTTTAAATGAGTTTCCAGTGGCTAAGAACCTAAAAAAATGTCAGCATTTAATAATTATTGTACTTGTCCGTGCGAAAACTTATTTCTGCTGTTTTTAAAGAAATGGATTTTTTTGGAAAGTAATTTTATTTACAGCACCCTGTATGATATTTTTCAAAGTTTTAAAAATTCTTAGAAATGTTTAAATTTTTTCCTAACATGGTTGCCAAGTCTCAAAAGGTCTAAAATTTTTATAAAAAAAAATTACTTTTTTAAATTTAGAATTGGGGCTTATTGCGAATGAAATACCAGGTATTTTGAATAGCCATTTAATAATTTGATTCTTCTTCCTTCTAAAAGTGTGAAGTTGTTACAATGTTATTAGTGCTTTAAAGAGTTTTAATTGTGGTTTAAAAAAGATAAAAAAATTTAGGCATTCCAGAAAAAAATTATAAGTGGCAACAATGTCAACAAAAACTTAAAGCACATTAATGAAGTCTAGTGAAAACTGCATGTCGATATATTTTTCCGTTCTCGAGTTATAAGTTGTTAAAAAAGTTGTTAAAACGTGTGAGTTTATAGATGGAAACCCAGTATTATGTTTATTTTATTATTTTAGGTGCAGCAGCTAAGAAAGCTTGGAAAGTATTGAGGCAGCAGTTCAAAGTTCATTTTGATAAGCTTTCTGTTTTACGCTCTGGGGGTGAACCAGAAGAAGACCTTGTGGATTGGCCATATTTTAGAAGTTTGATGTTTTCGAAAGACGTGTTTGAGAAAAGATCCACAACTGATAATTTAGACGACGTGGAACTCGATACTGAAGATGTGGTTGATAATAGAGACGAGGAGGAGGAACACACACAAAATGATGACTATGACTACGATATATCACCTCCTCTTACACCGTCCCCACAAACATCAAGTGTTGGGCGTTTTTTTGGCAGTACCGGTCATACTTGTTCTTCAAAAAAAGCGGATAATTTAGGATACAGAAAAAATTTAGTGGAGATAGAAAAAGAAAAAATACAAATGAAAAAAGCAAAAGAAACATCAAATATTGATAGAAACGATGAAGATATAGCCTCCTTTGCTTCCTTGTTGCCGCATGTAAAAAAATTGGCACCTGCTGAGAAGTTAAGATTTAGAATGAAAGTTCAAACAATACTAATGGAGAGCGTTTACAAGATCAGAACAGACATTACAAATTCAACGTCATTCGACATACAAGGTTCATCCCCTTTACTACATGAACGAGAAACAGTGTTACAGGCTAAAAGTACCTTACTAAGCTATATATTTAAAATTTGCATTAGTTACCTTTTTTTAATGATTCTATCATATTTTCAATCATATAAATATTTAAATTTAATTATTTTCATACCTCGATGCGATTCAAGAGTCAAAACAAAACAAATGAACTTTATTTAATAAAATAATTTGTATAACTATAAATTTTATATGCTATTTTTCGTTAAGAATCCAATGATCTTGGCTGGTTGGTTTCCCCATATTTCATTTCTAAACTAAAAAAAAATAATAATTAAAAATATTCAAATATTGTAAACAAACAATTATTATAACCTTGTCTAAGAATTGTCATATTCTTCCTCATTTCTTCTCTTAATTTCTAATTTGTCATTTATTCTTAAAACAGTAATTTCTCTTAAATCAATTAAAAGAAGAAAACAGGATACCAACTAAAACAATTAATTTATTCCTAAAACTTCGCGGCAAAATATTAGAAAAAAAAGTGGTTCTTGCTTTTTTTTGCATTGAGCACATTTTCTGAGAAAGAAGCGTGCCCGCATTTTGCGGATTTTCTTCGAAGAACCTCATAATTAGTGAACTAAAAGATTTTGTGATAATACTGAACAATAATCTCACCATTGTGGATAAAAGTTCCGAATATTTTTCAACTTTTTATAGTAACTTCAGTTGAAGCCCCTTTGTGGCCACCCATCATCCAAGGTGAGTTTTTAAGGAATAACCCCTATAAAAAAAAATATTATTAAACATTTTATCATCCTAATTTTGGCAATATATTTTTAGGCCTCTTATGCAGACTTTCACTCTTATGCAGACTATCACTTTCACTCTTAAGCAGTCTATCACTCTTATGCTGATTGTCAATCTCATTCCCATTCAAATTACAATCTGAAGATTAATTTTTGAATTTACTATATCTAGTCTGGAACCCGGGGGTTCCTAGATACCGAATTATTTAAAGACATTAAATAGAACTAGTGGAGGAATCCAACCAGTCCATCTCTTTGGATTTAAGATAACTGGAGACTCAACTCATGGTTAACAGCCAGAAGACCTGGAAAAACAGCTAAGAATATTTAAATACTAACTTTATCTTTACTTAATCATTTTTTTTTTGTTATGCACTTGTCTTTACACCCAATTGGTGACGTTTAATATAATTTGCTTTGATTTTATAAAATTTATTGTTTAATCTAATTTTATTAATATTATTTACTAACTATTTATTTCTAGAAATAAACTACATCTTACTGTAGGTTGTTACAGCAATTACTAAAATTTAATTCATTGTATTTCAAGCTCTTCAAGCCTTTAAATCTTCAGAATATCTTCGATTTATAATTGCTTTTCAAACTACCTAAAATCATTTATATTTATATCAAATAATAATTAAGGTATATAATTACTCACCTGTTTATAATCCATTTGTGCTTATTTATCTAAAACCACAAAATATATATCTACTCTCATCATTTAATAGAAAATATTCCGCACTATATTTGTTTTCTTAAAAGAACCCGAATCTGTTTTAAAAGCAACCAAAAACTGTTTTTAATCCAGTACAACAGTCAACCGTGTTTATACAAATCTGCAACCTGGAGGATTTGATTATGATTAATTAATTAAAAAATAATTAAAAAAATCACATTAACAATGTATTATTATTGTAGCAATTAAATAGTTTAACAAATCTTACCTGAGTGTTACTACTAACCGTTCTTCAGCAGTGATGGGCTGTTTATTCAGGTTGGTGTAGACTTTTTCAATTTTTGGTTCTATCAGTTGTAAGATGTAATTAAATGTTGGCCTTGACATTCGTAAATATTCAAAATATCGTTCTGGATAATTTTTTAGGTGCTGGTACAAATGTTAGAATTCACCAAGTTTAGAGCGTTCTTTATTTACTGGATGCACGTTCCACCTCCTATACCCACTTTGGGATTGTAATAACCACCATTTTACAGCATTACTTGGAGAGTCACTATCACTGTCTGAATCTGTGTACATTTTTATTACCATTCCGGCATATTAAAATTGAAAGACTGACTGCGATCGACGGCGACGTGAACTGATCAGTTATGTTTCAGAGCGGCGTGTGTCTGTATGTGGCGACCTGCACGGCAAAGTGCACGGCGAGAGGCGATGCGACGTGAACTGCTCCACTATGTTTTTACCCTTAGGGTGTCACTTGTAAGGGTTATATTTTCTTAGAGGCAAGAAAACACCTTACAGTCTCGTGCAATGATTTTTATGTGGCATAAAAGGTTTTCTGAGGGTCAGGAAGAAGTTAAAGATGATGAAGGAGAAGGGCGCCCCAGCACATCCAAAACAGACGAAAATGTTACAAAAATTAGTGAAATTATTAGAAAGGATAGGCGCCTTAGTGTAAGAATGATCTCAGAAATGATAAATATCAACAGAGACAGCTCGACAAATTTTACATAATGATTTAAACATGACAAAAGTCTGCGCAAAATTGGTCCCGAAAAATCTAACTCAAGAACAAAGACACTCGTAAAGAAATTTGTTCTGACACACTTGAGAGGCTAAATGATGAGCCAGATTTTGTAGGAAAAGTAATTACCTGCGACGAAACATGGATTTTTCAGTAAGAAACTAAGAGGCAATCCATGCACTGGAAGACCCCTTCGGAGCCGAGAATGAAGAAAGCAAGAATGAGCAAATCAAAATTGAAAGTGATGCTCCTTGTTTTTTTTTTGATGATAATAATAATACTCTCCCTAATTCACCCCCTTACGAGTGAATTTCAACCCCTGAAGTCGACTGAACGACTTGTGTAGGGGGAGGGACGGCTATTATTATTATTTGCCGTGGCGCTCCGGGGCGACTTAAGGATGATTGATGGTGCCATTTGACTTACAGGTGAGGAAAACCCAGAAAACCTCACCCACCATCATCGAGATGATAATGTATGGCGATTTTATAATCTGCATGTCATATCAATAGAAATTGAATTTCTATTAATACGGCACACATCAAATCCTAAACCGAACCATGCAATTTAATTAAAAATCCACATGGTCTGGTCTGGGATTCTAAGCCCAGCAGTCTCGGACTCATAAACTTGCCTATAAATGAATATAAGCGCGTTAGACAGCTACACCATCGACCCGATATTAGGGGTGTTATTCTTATGGAATGGGTGCCTGAGGGACAAACAGACAACCAACATTATTATTTGGAAGTATTGAAGAAACTAAGGGAACGTGTAAGGAAAAAACGTCCAGATTTATGGAAGAACAACGCGTGGCTGCATCACCAGGACAATGCACCGGCCCACAAAGCCATTTCCATTAAGCAGTTTTTAGCTGATAAGAAGATCCCTGTCCTTAACCACCCACCATATTCACCAGACTTGGCCCCTTGCGACTTCTTCTTGTTTCCGAAAGTGAAGGAATCGTTAAAAGGAACCCGTTTTGACACATTCTAAGAGGTCAAGGAAAAAACGGCGACTTCTCAACAGCCTCTCTTCCAATGATTTCCAAAATTGCTTCCAACAGTGGAAAAAACGTATGCAACGCTGTGTCGATAGGGAAGAGGAGTACATTGAAGGGGAGCACCATTAAGTTGTATTATTTTTTAAATAAAGTAGATTTTTTAAAACAGTCTTATAATTTTATTATCATACCTCGTATGTACTTTATTGGAATAAGTACATACAAAGTACGAACACGGTACCCATTAGCGCCCAGTGATACCATATGGTATTGCTAAATTAGTCATTCTCAGAACGTCGGCCATTTTACTAATATCGGTGGCCGCTGCATTGGTTTCGGATATCGTTAGCAGTCGCCGTAAAACTGTTTTGATGAGTTGTTGTTTATTTATAAACTTAGGAACACGTGTTTGTTTGACCGCGTGTTACATAAATAAGAAAACATGGACCTTCGCTTCGAGTAAGCAAATTTTTTTCAAGTTCTTTGTAGTTTTTGCTAAATATAAGTTTTACTATAGAATTTAAATGGTGTAAAGCAATATGCAAGATAAAGGTATTTATTTTTTATTATCGTAACGTTATAAAATGGCCATAACATATGATATCACTGGACGTTAGGACTACTACATTTATATTTCTTTTAGACGTGGATTTTTATTGTCAGATGCGTTGGATATGGTTTACGCAGATGACTATTTTGAATAGAATAGACGGACTATTTATTGAACCTCCTGAGCCTAACGTAGACAACAATGAAGATTCCGCTGACGAAAATGATGAGGGTATGATTCATAACATAACAGGTCGCCAGTTACTTGTTCCCGCGGAAATAAAATGTATAAATAATACACGCATGGGCAGCATAAAAGAGAAGGAAGAGAGGCGTAGAAAAACTAAGGTAGAAATTATGAATGGTTTGCTGCAAATTCAAGAAACCTTAAACATGAGCTAAACAGCCAAGTAGCACCCAGTATAAAAAAAATATATTCTTTATAAAAAACCTCTCATTCCTTAACCAGCAACTACAAGTGGTATATATTATTATAAAATTAACTTATATCCAGAGTGTCGTTCCTGCTGCTGGTTTGGAATGAGAGGTTTTTTATAAAGAATATATTTTTTTTATACTGGGTGCTGCTGTTGTAGCTGCTGGAACAAAAACAATGTGTTTTTGCGACAAGCTTCCAGTATGTTTAGATTCAAAACCGATGCTGCTGGTTTCGGATTTTAGGCGGTTTCTGGATAAGGTTCTCTATATAAGGCAATTCCTCAGTATGTCTCCGCCCTTCGTGTTACCATATCATCGATATTTGAGTCCCGGAAACGAATTGGAAAGTGGGGAGCCCGTTGATCGTGACGATTACATAGCCGAAAAACACGACTACGCTTACACCAACGCCATATCGGCCGAAGACGTATTAAGAGCCGACGAAGAGGCTGTGAGAGAATTTTGGAGTGATTTTTCAACAACGGGTAATTGGCATTCACTGATCGGTAAGTTTGGTTATTTTTAATTTTTCTTTATAATACCAATAGAATTTTAGGTGCCGCTGCACTATGGTTTCTAGGAAGGAATTTTTTGGCCAAAAGTGATTTTTCCAACTCTTAGTAAATACATTTTTAAGTCTATATATTAAAAATTAATACTTCAGAGCTCACGAATCCCAACTGGAAATTTTATTTGAGCGTCCCTTCTACCTAACTCGGGTAACAACAAGTTGTAGTTTCTGTCGGTGGTCAGTTACGATTAAGCAATCACCGAGCGTAGACAAACTTTAAAGCTGAGCTGCTTTTGTGATTTTTAAAAATTGAATTTATAGTGAACTGTGTTATTACCGTTAAGGTATGTACTTTTAATTTATATAAACAAAATTACGTTATTCTTCACGCCAGTTTTTTAAATTAATTAATACATAAATAGTGTATATTTATTTTAAAAATTGTAAACTCCAAGATTTAGGTAGACTTATAAAAATGCGGCGGAGTTTGGCCAAGATATTTTTACTATGGTAACATTCCGTCTTTATCAGTGATTGTTATTTAATATAATTTTGTTGCAACTATCTGCTACCTTTTCTAAAAAAAATTTTTTTTAGCCATGCATCGTTTTAAGAATAAAGACTTTTTGGAACTGTGGCTTAAAGAAAAAAACAAAGGCGATAAATTTTCTGCTATTTATCTTCAAATTATAAAGGAAGTAGGAGAAAAGATAAATCCATCCAATATACAAAAAATTAAAGAAAAAATTCATCGTTTATGTCGCAGTTTTGATGAAAGATGGTCCAAAGTGTTGCGGAACAAGGAATATTTTCAGAAAAAAAAATCGAATTGGCTAAAAAGTGATTTTAGTATTGAGATGAATGAACCTATGCCATCTACATCTTTCGGTCGTCCTACAATTCTGTTTTCTGAAAAATTAAATCGATCAAAAAGAAGAGAAGCCTCGCAGTTATCACATGAAAAACAACATGAGTCATCATTAATAGTACAAGCTGCAAGTATGGCGGCACGACAACAAGGAATGCAAGATTTAGCAGTCATGCCAAAAGGAGTAAACAAAAGCCCATCTCGACCAGCTAAAATTAGAAAAATGCTGTTTTCGTCCAAAGAAGGAACTGTAAAGTATACGCCTGAAGAAGCCCTAGAATTTATTCTAGATAACAATTTTAGTAAACAGCAGTATTTAAACATCAGGCACGGAGCTCTTTCAAGAAAATCTGATATGTACCCAAACTATAATGAAGTGTGAAAATGTAAACCTAAATGTAGACCAACCGGTATTATTGTTTCTGATATTGTAGCAGAAGTTCCTTTTTTAAATCTTCTAGGACATACTACAAAAAGAATTGTATTTTTACAAGAAGAGGCCATTATGCAGTACATGAAAATGATGAAGGTGAATGAACTTAGTGCAGAAATAATATTTAGTTAGGGCTTCGATGGAAGTAGTGGGTAATCAGCTTACAAACAGGAATTCAGTACTTCAGGTACTCAGTCCGACGAGTCTTTATTTGCAACGACTTGTATACCTCTTCGTTTGCAGACAAAAAATAATGTCATTTTGTGGAACAATAGAACTCCTCAGTCTGTTCGGTTTTGTAGACTATTTAAGTTAGAGTATTCTAAAGAATCATCAGAACATATATTAAAAGAGAAAAAAAATATTGACTTGCAGATTGAAAAACTAAAGGAACTAAAATTACTATTACCTGAAAATAAACTAATAAATATTAAATGTATTCTTTTTATGACTTCAATTGATGGAAAGGTACTTAATACTTTAACTGGTACAAAGTCAAGTCAAACTTGTCCAATATGTGGTGCTACTCCCCGAAGTTTTTTAAAAGTTGAGAACCCCAAAACAACTATCTTTAACCCAAAACCAAATACTTTACAATATGAAATAAGCCCATTACATGCTTGGATACGTTTTTTCGAGTGCATACTACACATATCCTACAGGCATGATTTATGTGAATGGTAAGTTAGAGGTACCGAAAATAAAGAAAGATTTAACAACAGAAAAAAAAACATTCAAGAACGATTCTTATCCCTTTTACATCTACATGTAGATAAACCAAAATCAAGTGGTTTTGGTAGCACAAATGATGGCAATACTGCTCGTAGAGCCTTTAGCAATACCAAAATAACAGATGTTGATGAAACTCTAATAAAAAATTTGAAATCATCCTAATTTGTTTGTCTTGCCAGTACCAATTAGATGCAGAAAAATTTGAAATTTTTTGTTATAAAACTGCCAGACTATACATGAAAAAATATTGCTGGTATCCTATGCCTGCAACTATTCACAAAGTTTTAGTACATGGAAGACAGATAATGGAAGACAGATATTGCCCGTGGGATATTTTGGGGAAGAGGGATCTGAAGCCAGAAATAAACTTTACAAATATGATCGACAATTTCACGCTAGGAAAACAAGCCGACAAAATAATCTCGGAGATGTTTTTCATCGAGCTATGGACACCTCAGATCCCATTATTTCAAGTATAAACTTACAAAAACGAATAAATAAACAACAAAACTTAAAGTTTCCAGCTGAAGTTACAGAAATGCTTTTGGAACAACAACCACAACAGACGAAGGAGAAGAAACAATTTTGGAAGAAATAATGCCTGATCATTTGGACTCACTTGAGTTAGATATGGAAATGTGATTTTACTTTTTATTTAAACTATCAAATATATTTAAAGAAAAAAGGTATTTATTATTTTAAATCTAGTTCTAAATGACCCAAAATAAGTTTTATAGTTTTAATATACTCCATTAAAAACAGTTGAGCCCATAATTTGTTTTTTCAAATCTTGTTTTGACTTATGGCCAAAAATTTGGTTCATTGAAACCATAGTGCGCTGGCTTAAAACTTAAGAATATTGTGGAAAAAAACACAGGTGTATTATATCCTGACATGGCCAATAAGCACGAGGAAAAATATAAAAAATTGCCAATACGTCTTGGCCTAACTAAAAGGAGGGGAGATAATGAACATCGACAAAATGAAGCTCGTAATAACTATTGTCAAGACGAGATCCTACACAAGATCCTGCTCAACCTTCATCTTCTCATGACGTTTCGGATATTGGACAAGATGAAGGATATGGCACCCAAATGAGTCGAGGGAATGCTCCTATGAATACCGACGAAGTAGATGCCGGAGAGGAAATGGAAAATCCGTCCAATACGGAAGGGGTTACAAATCCTACAAACGGAATGGGTGTACTGTATATGATGAAGTCGCTGGCTAGTCCTACATTTACATTTTATAAGAAATCACGTGGGGATTTGCATCAAACCGATTTAATTTAGGACCAAAAGGTAAAGAAAGCAATTATATGGGTTTAAGTACAAGCTTAGCATACGTACCTGTCGACTGGATATCATTTTATTTATCTCCTGTAGAATATTCCATGTTGCCACTAGGGTCCTTCATTAAAGAGGTTTACGTAGAAATAATACCAAAAGGATTGAGATGCTCGTTCGACACGGGTACGACAATAACCGGAAGTGCCAATTCTATGCACGTAATTTTTGGAAAACATTGTGTGGGTTTGAACCATAAAGTCGAACACGTCAACTATATCATAAAATACTAAGAAAGGGACGTGCAAACCGTTTAGCTTTACAGCCCTTAAAAGTTGAAAATATCTCGAAAATGGTTAAGTTAACCCATTACATCCCACCGTACTCATTTGGGTACATCTTAAAATGTACTCCAGAGCTCCATCTGTCGAAATAAAACTACAATCTAATAAGTTAGAAATATTCTGCAACGTTGTATAAAGAATCATAGTAGGATAACGCTACACTAAAAAGCGTTTGAGACAATCTCGCGTGGCATCTAGTGACGTTCTTATGAAGTAGTCAATTTCTAATGCTATGCAGATACATCTTTGCTATTTTGGACTCTACCATGTAATTATGCTACTTATTTTAGATATGAAATTGTTGGCTGCAATATGTATTGGTCGTAGGATAATCGTGGTTGTTAATGTAGAAAAACTTATAACCTTATAAATAATAAATCTGTTTTCAAAATTCAATAAGGCTGTTCTACGAAACTAACTATAATAATTAGCAAAAAATTAGTTAAAGTAGTTACTAATAAGGGATGGATTTTTGAAAAAAAAAATCAATCTATACCTAATTTAAAAATTATATTTTCAAAGTTTTTAACAAATATTTTATATATTAAAATTTACAGCAAGAGTTTGGGGTTTTCCAAAGTATATAAATTACCAGTTTAAACCAATGTAATAGTTATAAGAAATATATAATAGTTCAGTATTTAATTTGAACATGAAAACAAAATTAGAATAAAACCAATATACATATTATATTTACCTATATAGCATAAGAAAGTATTTTTAGAAAATTAAACAAAAATGGTAAGAACTTTTACTTTTTGTAATAACCTTGTTTAATACATAAGTTATCTGCACTTTCATTACATAAATTAATAAATGTTTAATTACCAATGTTAGTTGATATTTTATACCATAATATAGTGTATTTAATTTAAAAATTAAACAACAAAATACAAAGATCGTACATAATGTGCAAATAAATGCTAACATATTTTATATACTCATTTTTCGAAAATTAAGCCTTTAATAATTGATTTTCCTTCTCAAAATCATTAAACCAGAACAAATTAAATTAACCTTATTTTTATTTAGTATATTCGGTATTTATTTCAATCTGTTTTTATAGTTTTCTAAAAACAAAAATATATAATTCGTTCCATTATAAATGTATCGTATAGTGTTTTGTCCATTTATGTTCCCAGACAAATGAGACATATTAAACTGATTGATGAAAACTATCAAATAAAATTCACTTTTTAAAGTATTTAATAGTAATGCGATGCAATAGATTCAACATTTGTTTGAAAATACAGATACAAAAAATACATCATTTTCCAAGAATGCGAAAATCCTCTCACTTATGGCTCAAGTAAGCAAGTTTTTGAACAGACGATTTCTGAAAGTGGTAGTAGTGATGGAGAGTGGTTGAAGGAGATTCAAAACCTACCCACAGGAAGTAAAAGAAAATGTGGCTCTCTGGTAAAAGAGAATAAGAAATTAAAGGGAGAGTTAGGAATTGCTCGAACTAAAATAAATAACTTGCAGACCCAATTAAGAATAGCCAAAATGAAAATATTAAAAGTCCAGCTCGCAGCAAGTAAACATTTTAAGGAGGCTACTACAACAGTATTTTCTAAAACTCTAGTAAATATACAGTTAAGGCATAAAACAAGATCTCCTTGGACACCTCTAGAAAAAAAGACAGCCTTGTCTATATATTACAAGAGCTCTTCATGCTACAATTTTTTAATTAGAAAAGGCCCTATTTTACCAGCTATTTCAACAATAAAAAAATGACTGGGAAACTTTATTTGTACTTCAGGTTTTAACAACAGGATTTTTAAAAACTTAATGTTAAAATCAGGTACAATGACACCCTCTGAAAAAATGTGTAGTTTTGCTTGACGAAATGAGTATTAAACGAAATCTAGACTACAGTGAAAAATTGGACATAATTGAAGGTCTTGTTGATCTGGGGATGTTGGGAAGAAAATCGGTTCCAGCCAGCCAAGCTATTGTTTTAATGATACGAGGAATCTATTCTCCATGGAAAATTCCTATATTCTTTTTTGTTTCGGAAAATGGAGTAACATGTGGTGAATTAGAAAAAATAGTTTTAAAGTGTCTACAGAAGCTTACATCTGTAAATTTGACTCCAATTGGCATTGTATGTGATGTCTCTAGGATCAATCAACAATTGTTTTCTAGTTTAAAAATCAGTGTTAGAAAACCTTTATTTTTATGTAGAAGACAAAAAATATTTTGCTTTGTATGATATACCACATTTACTTAAATGCATCAGAAACAATTTTTTAAACACTCGTTTCCTATTTAATGGAAAATTTATGGACTTTTCAGACATTAGAAAAGTGTATGAATTAGATTGTAAAAGTAGAACTGGAAAATGTCTATTAAAATTGACAAACATTTGAAACCCAGTTCATTTGAAAAAATGAATGTCAAACTTGCAGCACAGTTGCTAATCCATAGTGTAGCTAGTGCCACTAAAGTAGCTTTGCGAACTGGGAAACTTATTTCAATTACAGGTGAAAATACAGCCTATTTCGTAAGTACGATTAATAATTTATTCGATGCACTTAACAGTACCCAATACAATAATAGCAATCCATATAATCGCGTTTTAAGTGACAAAAATCCTCCAGTTCTACATGCTATTAATGCTGTTTATAATTTAATAAAAAATATATATATAAAATAGACAATAAAGGTAAGTTGTACAGACCTCCCAGCTTTGATGATTTTTTGCAAACAATTAATGCAGTTAAATTATTGTTCAATGAACAAAAAACAAATGGCAAAACCTTTTTATTTACAGGGAGGTTAATACAAGACCTTCTTGAGAATCAATTTTCGATATATAGGTGGATACAATAGGAATCCTACTGTAAAATCTTTTCAGGCTACCTTTAAAATAAACATTGTTGCAAATTTAATGAAACCTGCTAATACCGCAAATTCAGCAACAAATGCAGATGAAGACATAAATATTTTAGATCTTGAGGAAGTAGGCACATCATCATGTGATTTACTATTGAAAAAAGACGGTGAAGAAAATGAGTTAAATATAGTACAATCTTCAAATAGTGACAGTGATTCTGATTTGTCTACATCAACTGCTCCCTTAGACTTTAAGTTTAATTTAGAAAACTGTTCGACCACTTATTTTGCTGGATATTTGGTCAGAAAGTGCTTGAAAAAATTTAATTGTGTTAATTGTCAAACATTGCTAGAAGGATCTCAAAATTTTGATAATAACGAGGAATTGTTGAATTTTTATAAAAATTATGATCTTGAAGAACAAAATGCATTAAAAACACCAACAGATATAATAAAATATTTTACAAAAATATGTTTAGATACTTTCAGTAAACATATATCAAAATATATTTTAAAAAAAATTATATTTAATTTGGCCAAAATAATAAATAAAAAATTACAGGTTAAACTCCCTATCTGGTTAGATGTGCAAAAGGAATGTATTGAACATAGAAAATATATTTTAAAGTTAATTTTAAGAACTTGAATATTTAAATACACAAGAACAATTTCGAAATCGATGAAAACCCTTGCTGGAACAAAAAATGTTAAATTGTCTATTTTGAAGCATAAGTGGGAGGAAACCCTTGATATAGGTGCTGTCTTTAAAACTGGACTACTATTTTCAGTATCCATTTTGGAATCTAAACTGCTAGAACTTGATCTGTACTGTACAGGGACAGCATCCTTTGGCAATTTCTTTCTAGAAAGTTGTTCTGCAGAAAAATGCTTACTAGAGATAAACTTTTTTTTTAATGATTTAGGGCTTAAATCTGTCAATTTACCATTGCCTGAAATAAAATCAAAATATTTTACTATTTTTTACAATATATAGTACATAAAATAATAAAAAAAAAATGGAAACTAGATTTTTGGAACTAACTGTACGTAACAAGTTACCTGATTGAAGGATCCACTTCTTACATCTCTCAGTGTCACTTACAGGAAAGCGGAATATACTGATTGTGGAATCAATTCTGGGCAACAGTCCGCACCCATAAAATTGACATTTATTTCCAGACATCTGAAAAAAAAACATATAGGTATATACAGTATGTCCCAATTTTTTTATTCCAATGGGAAAAAAGGTTATCTTATATTTTTTCACAAATAAAAATTATTTTGGTAAAATTTCCAACACACACTTTTAGCATTGGTTTTTGATTATTGATTGAATAAAGTAAATCAAAATCACTTAAAAATAAGTGCAATGATTTAAATTATTTTTTTTATTTTCTATCAACAATTCAATTAAATTTTCTCTATATTGAAACATAAAAATATTTGATTTTTATTTTCCTTGTAGACACCTACATTTTGTAACGGTTGGAACCGTTTTCGTTATTTGACCCAGACCCGTTTTCGTTATTTTGAAACCAACATCTCTACACAAACGTCATTTGTCGTTTATGTCTAGTGTCAAAACTTGGATTGTCATTTTCATTTTATCTGTCGACAAGCAACTTGATTATAGAATTTTAATTATCTATTATATGGGACATCCGATGTACTAGTTATCTTAAATATTTTTAATGATCATCTGATTTTAAAAAGGTAAGTTTCCTACCGATATTTTGTTGAAAATATATATTTAGTACAAGATTTGAATTTAAAATGTCAAATTTGAAACATAACCTTAACATGGAAACACATTGAAAATCACAAGAAATCATGTTTTATATAATTTCCTATATTATTTTGTTTGAAATAGATAATATGCTTTACTATATTTATAAATGTTAAATAAGACTTTTTCTTTTCCTATTAAATTCTAATCTCTGTGTAACTATTCAAATAATAGTTTAATTTGTTCATTTGATAGTAAAAAGCATCTTATCTGTTCCTATATACTCTTTCCGGCTCCTTTCTTTATATTTTTACCTTTTTCCTTGTAGCCTTGCTGTATATAGATGGTCTTATGGTCTTAAAGAAATACTAAAGAAATTATATAGATGGTTGCAGTAGATTTAGATGGTTCGATAGAAACTATATCGAGGATTCAATAGTAGCTGTATCTACATGAATTTTGGAAGAACGTACAAGCTGCATGTTAAGAAATTCGGAAGAACGTAGAATACATCAAGAAGTTTAGTTCAACCACCGAGAGGAGTTAACAAGATTTAACACTACCTAGTAAATTCTCACAAGAAGGCCTCTACAGTCACTCCTTAACTGTTTCCTGTATACCTCCAGATAAGTTAAAATAAATCATTTAAATTTGAATAATTAAGTCTCTGTGAATTAGAATTTGTCGCTACCTTATTTAATTATAATATAAAGATTAGTGATCATGGAGGAAGGATAATTAAGAGTTGCCGTTTCTTTGAAGAAATATGGCAACAGGTTTGTTTGCAGCGGCACCGGTAAGGGATTTGTCCAACTATTTCTCAGTCGGTAATATAGATACCTGCATATTTTATTTTATTTAAAAATTAGCGGGATTTTGTTTGTAGCTCTAATTAGTATAACTAAAATTTTGCATTTTTATTGGCATTTTTTACAACACAGACAAGGTGCAAGATGTAACAAAATGCCAATCAAAATATAAAATTTTATGACCCATAATTTTAGGAAGGGTAAAATAATTTAATATAAAATAATTGTATTATCTATTATATCATTAAAGCTAATTTATAATAAATTTTCTAAATAAACAATATTTTAATAAAACAACTAAAACTTTCTGTAAACTTGGGTAGGTAACAAAACACATTAAGGAGAACCATCCATATAATCTGAAACAGAAAAAATTCAAAGTAGTATTTTAACTTCATATTAGTTTAAATATCTTTTTTCTTTTAGACATTGTCACAGTTTTATACTTTCATTATAATATTTTATAATTAATAATGGTAGTCCCTTCATCTTTTAATTAGATGTAGTACTTTTAAAAAAACAGATGTCTGTGGGATCAAGCTTTGAGGTCCTTCTTTGATTCGCAAATTTTACTTTGCTGTTTTCTCCCTTGGAGCTAACCATTCACTGTTCACTGGATAGATTTAAAAATCCAAGAGCTAATTATTGTTTTTTAGGTAATAATTATATTTCATTGGATGAAATTTTAATCGAATGTAACTTTCTTTTCACTGGTAATTTGTTTGACGGTATGATAACAATATTACTTTAGTATTACTCTTTACTGTTAATTTAGCTTTCAAGGGTACCAAAGGTAAAGCCAATTTACAGTCTTGTAACCTATAAATGGTTTTTCGCAAGTGGAATGATGAAGTTTATGCGGCATCATTTAGTTCCTTACTTAATATCGGAAGGAAATAAAAAAAATGTGTTCTTAAAATGTACAGCATAAATTGGACAGTAAATTGTACTATTTACCTTTATACAAACAACGCTATTACAATTAGATATTATGAATTTATTACGAACAGGACCTGCTAAACACATGTTAAAACATCAAAATATCTTTGCTTAATTTTAAATTTAACATGTTTAACTAAAACTAAAATTAAATAAAAGTAAAAGTACTTACCACGTTTTATTCAGCAACCATAACCATATTGTTTTGTTCAGTTTTGTTATTGTATCGGTTCGAACGGGTGACAATCCCAAAGTCAGATTTACATTGTACAAATAATTGATTAATTCATGTTTTTCAAATAATTGTAGTATTTATATAAATATATAATTTTAAAACAATACTTACCGTGTATTACTTTTGTTATTAAGCGAAATATATTTGAATGATTCAATTATTCAGTGTACTTTAAATTTAAATATCATTTTATTATTGTAAAACGGACTGATATGCGCGGATGTGTTGCGCACTAACCTGTTGATATAACGCGCATATGTTATAAGCCCCCCTGTTAGTGATTTTCTATATTTTCATCACTGATCGATTGTCAAGTTTAGAAAGTTTTAAATATAGTGGCGTCCAATATTCTCTTTCAAAGTCATATGAGTTGTTTAATAACCTAACCCACTCCCTAAAATCGTAGAGCTTAAAACACTATAAAAATTGATAAAATAATAAGATCACATTACAAAATTTAATGCTTGATTATGGATTTCCCAAATAAACCATAACTTTTTAACAAGAATATTTTTTTGCAGTTTTTAGCAGTTTTCTTTTTTTTGCACAAGATAAAATATTAGATCATAAAAATAATGGTGTCACCCTCAAAAAATGAAGTTTAAAGTTTTTCAATAAAACAGTTGGAATCTACGATTTAATTTTTTTTTTATTCGGGTGGATGATGAGGATAGTGGGCAAAGATTTTTGTATAAGTAGGGTTTAAATCAGGTCAATTGTAAATGTGCCAAAAATTTGAGTTTTATCTACTCGGTAACTATGTGTAAATGACAGCCCCACATCGGAACTAGGTCGAAAAATTTAAGTCTATAAAAATTAAAAGAAATACAATTCTTGGGGAAATTTGACCATGTTATTAGCCGAGAAGGAACAAATAACTTTTTACAGTCAGATGTAGAGAGTTGGGAAATATGAATTAAGGAGAATACTAATATAAATTCGAGTACTCCTTTCTTTCGATAGAGCAATCCTTTTCTTGAATTTGATGATAGGTCTATTGTAAATTGTACCATAAATGAGATTTTTATTTTCTATAAATATATTTATACAATGTCTGTATCTATTTTCAAATTCCACTTCCAAAACAATTTTTGGTTAAGTTCGGCTAAGTATTGGGGTAGACCAAACTTGGTATATGGGTGTATGGTAGGTAGGTACACCTAGATTTTGTAAAAAAAAAACCTAAAAGTGAAAGTTCTGAAACTTTAAGTTTTTTAAGATAAATGTTAAGAATTCACAATTTTTTCAGGAGAAAGAGTGCAAAAATTGGTGTATATAAAAACAAATGCAAATATACATAAAATATATAGGTAGTATTTATTTTTCACTTTTGTATTTTCTTTTTTTTTTCACAGAAAGTGATTTTTTAATGTAGGTACAAAATAGAATTCTATTTTTTAAGTTTTGTTTGTATTTTTTACTTTTACATTTTTTATTCTTAGGTTTTTTTAACCCTGGGTATATGGGTCTATTATTCCATAAATGAGATTTTTATCTTTTCTGTAATTATTTTTAAATGTCAGCCCCCACATCCGAACTATGACAGTTCAGACGAAAAAAAAAAAAACAAATTTCAAGAAAATACAAAAAAAAATTGGAAAATTTTTAAAAATAAATTTGATATTTTGAGTTTGCATGTAGACAAAAATGGTAGATTTTTTAACTATTTTATTAAAAAAAAAAAAATTATTTTGTTTTTTGAAGGTGACACCCCTTCCTTATAGGGGCTGGGCGGTTGGGCAACATTTTCTTTATACGATTTTTATATTTATGGAATAGTACATCATTATACAAAGTTTGATCTCAATATCTCTACCCGAACTGCCCTAGCCCAATCAAACTGTTCTTTTAATTTTAATAAAAAATTTGAAATTTTGCTTTTGTAGGTATACAGAAAAAATTGTAGATTCCAACAGCTTTATTGAAAAAATTGTACCTTTAATTTTTGAAAGCGACATCCTCTATATACTTTCTTTTGTGATTTTTGTTTTTATGAGAAAATACATCCATATACCAAGTTTATCTCCAATATCCGACCCTAACTAGAACCTTAGCTTCAAGAGCAAACCTTAACTTATTTATTGTTTCGGCCTTTATTTGATGAAAATCCATTTTATCTTGAATGAGTAAAACCAAATTAGGTAGATTTTCACAAAACTTTTATTTTAAAAAATAAAAATTAAAAACACTACACATGACATGTTTCGAAGCACAACTTCTTTTTCAAATGTGACTAATTTACAATTCGGTATCCAATATATATGGGTCATTCCACCAAATAAGTTCATTTTTACCCTCACGGATTTTGTTCAAAATTTGTGGAAGTGTTCTCTATAATAAGAAAAAAATTCCCTGTGAGTTTTAGCCCTCAATATGCAGCGGTTCTGGAATTATGATTTTTTGAAATTTTGAGAAAAAAAATGTTCAAACTTTTTCATCATTTTTTTTGATGAGGAAAACGTTTTTATTAAAATTCACGGAAATTGGTATCTTGTGGGAAAAATTCTCAGCTTTTGAATAAAAATATTCGTTTTATCATAAACATAGCAATAGACCCTTAAAAATCAAATTAAAGTGGAAAAGTCGATTTTTTTTCGATGTGCGATGCAAGATACGTCAAATTTGAATTTTTTTTCTGAAAACTGAGAGTTTTTTACACAAAATATATCGTTTTCGCGATGTGCATATTTTTTGTTCTATCACAATTAAATTAAACATTATATCCGCTAAGTATTATGCGATTATTCGGAATGGTAAAATAATTTTCCATTAAATATCTAAATTAAAATATTTAAAAATTTTAAACTGCTCGCTAAGAAATTGAGTTCATACGATGCAGATGGCGCTCATAACTCCCTCTATTTATTTACTTTCTGTGAATATTTGTTGACTGATGTCTTTCATTTTTCTGTAGTTACTTGAGAGCTAGACCTTATCAAAAATATAATTGCTCAAGTTTATAATTATTATTGTACTTCTTCGATTTTTTATAACAATGAGTAAGCGTATAAGGTTGACAGTGAATTGTTATAATCCGTTTAATGAGCCACGTAAGTGACTATGATGTATTCTACCTCATATGTATAACCTCTAAATGAAATTGATTAAATCAGAGGCTCAAAATTCTAATCTCTCAAAAACTCCGGCGGGTAATCAGCCGCTCAATTTGGATGTAACAAAACTTGTTATTGACTTCTACGAAAGTGAAGAGAATTCTAAACAATTAGCGGGCATGAAAGATTTCAAATCTGTGAAGGATTGTGATGGTAATCGAATCCGAGTTCAAAAAAAGTTAGTTTTATGTAATTTGAAAGAATTATACCATAATTTTAAAGCAAAGTACGATTCAGTACCAATCGGATTTTCTACTGTCAATTACTATTGTCAATGTTACTTCAGATCCCGATGACTTTATTGATTCTTTAAATATATATATATATAAACTTTTAAAACATGATTATATAGCAAAAATACAGAGTCGGTTTTTCTCTAATACGAAATCAAATTTAAAGAATGGTGAATTTGCGGTAGTTTTTGATTTTGCAGAAAATTATGTATTTGTTGTGCAAGAAGCTGCCCAAGGCTTCCATTGGAATAATGACCAAGCTACTATATTTCCAATGGTGATTTACTATAACGAAAATGATACTATTAAGCATTTTAGCTTAGTTGGTATATCGGATTGCCTTAAACATGACACAATTTTGATTTATTTATTTCAAGAACAATTGATTGCTTTGCTAAAAAAAAATTTGCTGTTGTCGATAAGATATTTTACTTCTCAGATGGTGCACCACAGCAATTTAAAAATAAAAAAGCCTTTACTAATGTATGTTATCATTATGCTGACTTTGGAATTATTGCTGAGTGGCATTTTTTTGCCACTGCCCATGGCAAAGGACCATTCGACGGGCTTGCAGGTTCAGTAAAACGCTATGCTGCTAGAGCTTCATTACAAATGGATAATAAAGAACATATACTGACACCACAAGATTTACATTCCTGGGCAATCAAGAATTTCACAGGCATTGATTTTACTTTTATAACGAATGCTGATTATTTAATCAAAAAAACTGTGTTAGACGTACGATATTCTCCATCGAAAACGGTAAAGGGTACACAGTCATTGCACACTTTTTCACCAATAAAAGATGAAATTGGATATGCTTTTATTAAAACTGTATCAACATCTGAAAAATGTTCGAAAATAAAAGTATTTTAATTATAAAGAATCTGCGTTTAATTTAATTGTGATAGAACAAAAAATATGCACATCGCGAAAACGATATATTTTGTGTAAAAAACTCTCAGCTTCCAGAAAAAAAATCAAATTTGACGTATCTTGCACCGCACATCGAAAAAAATCGACTTTTCCACTTTAATTTGATTTTTAAGGGTCTATTGCTATGTTTATGATAAAACGAATATTTTTATTCAAAAGCTGAGAATTTTTCCCACAAGATACGAATTTCCGTGAGTTTTAATAAAAACGTTTTCCTCATCAAAAAAATTGATGAAAAAGTTTGAAAATTTTTTTTCTCAAAATTTCAAAAAATCATAATTCCAGAACCGCTGCATATTAAGGGCTAAAACTCACAGGGATTTTTTTTCTTCTTATTATAGAGAACACTTCCACAAATTTTGAACAAAATCCGTGAGGGTCGCCCCGTAAAAATGAACTTATTTGGTGGAATGACCCATATGCGAAATAATTTAACAAAACAAAGTACTTAAGAAAACATCAATAACATAACAAAATAAATTAACTATTTAAAGTAAATAAGGGTACTTAGGTAATTATGATATCAATCAGATAACAATAAGATAGTAATATTAACGGGATTATCTCACAGAAAACTAGGAAAGAGATTTAATAAGGGTGAGTTATTAATCTCTAATTGATCATTGAGTAGGTTCTCTGAATTTTTAAATCTATTTATTTCAAGTGTTTCTAAATGGTTTAGTTTATTGCCCTTATTTTCTATATGTAAAATTTCAAAGTTGTCTGTAAAAGAATGATTTTCAGCTAAAATATGATTTGAGTAAGTAGAATTATTTTTGTTTTTTGTATAGCTATTATAATGTTTGGAATAGCGCTTTTTGAAAGTACGGCCTGTTTGACCAATATACAGTTTTGGACAACTACCACAATTTAATTTATATACCCCCGATTTATTATTAGGATTAATTTTACCCTTATTGTTTTTAATATACTTCCCAAGCGTATTATTGGTTTTAAAAGCTACGTTAATATTTTGGTTTTTTAAATATGATACTTTTTCTCTAGGAGCTCCTATATCTGCAATTTTGATCTTTAATTATGGGATAAACTTGTTGAATAGCATGTTTAAAAAGTTTTTTCTCTAAAATGTTGTCTACTAACTTTGAATTAAAATTATTGTTTACTGCGATTTGTTTAATGATATTTAGTTCTCTTTGGTAAGGGGGATATTTACTAATCTATGGATCATACTGTTGTATGCTGCCAGCTTTTGTTTGTATGGATGAGATGAACTATTATTTATTGTAATATCAGTATGCGATGGCTTATGAAATATCCCAAAACTATGGCCTTTATTAATTTTAATAATATTTAAGTCTAAAAAATTAATTGAATTATCCTGCTCTGTTTCCATAGTAAATTTAATATTAGGGTGTATAGTATTGATAAAAACTAATAAAGAATTTAACTGTCTACTAGTACCAGTAAAAGCAGTCAGTATATCGTCAACATATCTATTCCAATAAAGACAATGTTTACTTAAATTATTGCTATCAATTTTATGTTATATATTATCCATAAATATTTCCGCAAGCAACGGGCTTAATCAGTTCCCCATAATAAGACCTTCATTTGCTGAGTAGATGTTATTTTGAAATTGAAAATAATGTTGTTTTAGGCAATGTTTAACAAATTTAGGATTTATTCTTTGATTATAATATTGACTTGATTACGATCTAATAAGTTTTCTACTAGCTTAACTGTTTCTTTAGGAGGTATACTAGGAAATAAGTTTGTTACATCGAACGATACTAATTTTGTGTTACTAGGTAATTTAATGTTTTTTAATTTTTCTGTTAATTAATAAGAATTTTTTATACTATACTTTGAATGGAATTTGCAGTTTTCTTGTATAAGTTTAATTAATGTATGTGAAAGTTTAACTGATGGAGCCGTGACAAATGATACAACTGGTCTAATAGGATAGTTCTCTTTGTGTGATTTTATTAACGAATAAAGTTGTGGTGGTTGAGGGTTCATTTGTATTAGTTTGAATTTTTCTCTAGAATCAAAATTTGCTGTTGAATCCTGAATATTACGTTTTAGTTCTTTTTGATATTTATCTGTTGGATCAAATTTGATTATGCTATAATTATTGCTTGCTTGCTCATTTTTACAAACTGGGCCAAACTGGACCAAACTTTACCCAGTTCCATAAATACGGACAAAACGATCCTTTTAGTAAAGCTACCTTTATGATAAAGTTTACTTTCAATTAACTTTAAAGCTCGCCAGTTCCATAAAACAAGTTAAATCTCTCTTTGAATAAAGGTCGATTTTAGAAATATTTGTTATGTTGGCAACTCTGGAATGATTAAGTGAAGTTAGTCACTATGTCAAGTCATTGTATTTTTGACAGTTAAAATATAAAATTATCTTAACCTCTCTGTGCTACCACGTGTATTAAATAATTTAAAAAATCTTAAAAGTGAGTTCAGCTGAAATGATTAAAATTAAAAAGAAAAAAAGCTCTAGTTTCTCCAAAGAGGACGAAATTCGCTTGTTAAATGCGTCTATCTGCAGCGGAAAATAATAGAGAACAAGGATACTAATAAATTAACCAACATGGAAAAGGTATGCAACAATTCTTTTGTATTGACATGTGTTAATTATAATTACTTATTTATGGATAAAGCTTGGGAAAAAGTAGCTGTAGTGTATAATGTCAATTCACTATAGTCTGTTTAAAAACCAGGAGGAGCGATTTGAATATAAGTTGGCAATTCTGGAGACTTCTGATTGATCAGATTGCAGTCAGTTTCACACATCACTTTTTGCATTAACATATGGAGGGTAGAGGAAAGGAGAACAATCTCTGTATACAAGAAGTGTCCCTCAAAATGTATACAATTAAGATGGCGCTTCTGTGCCCAGGGGACGTCGACAGTCGATAATTCAGATCACACAATGACACCAATGATGTATATAGTAATAAATATTGCTCAACCATAAAAAACTAAAAACTACACCGTGAAAAGTGACTGATCGTAGAAGAGTAAGTGTTCTATGATCGTAGATAAATTTTGACAATACACGACAAGAGTCAAATTTTATTGAAAAATAATAATATAAACAATAAATAATTCTTATATTAAAATGGTGAAAACATGTGCAATTAAAAGCTGCTTAAGTGGCCGCAAAAGTGTAAAAAATGAAAAAGACATGCCGCAGTCGTTGTCGTTTTTTAAAGTCATGGCATGTATAAAAATATAATTTTTATTATTTGTATTAAATTTGAAAGAATAGTGTTAATTTTCCCTTAGGTAATTAAATTATTAAAATTTATGAACTATTAATTATAAGTGAATAGTTTCAAAATATTTTATGCGTTTCAAATTTCATAATTTTGTGTTTATTGTTGTACAGTCATCAAAAATAATTGCCAATTGGACAAAGTCTTGTTACACTCCGTTTTTATTTTTAAGTATTATTTGCTATTAAATTTAGTTATTAATTTCGAACCCTACCTCGTATAATATATTATCCTTATTTTGTGTTAATTAGTGCGTTTCTTTATTCGTAACATTTCCTTTTATATTATTCTCCTTTGAATACATTAATATAATACATATAATTTAATATAAATCCGTAATTAATTGATTTGTTTATTTTTGTAATCATGCCTATGTTCTAATTACTACCAGTTGTCAAATTTATTATTGGAATAATAAATTCTATGGCTTTGTCCTGTACAGTCAGTGCGCTCTGTTCCGAATTGCTCGGATAACAGGCGATAACTGTGGTCTTGGTTCGAGTGGTTCTGCTCCGGTCCGCATGCAGCCAACGTCGAATGGGATTACCTTTTTTTATTGATTAGGGTTTTTGTTTTGGTGATATTAGATTCTAATATGTAAATATTATAGTATTACTGTCATTAGGGTTATTGTAAATTTGTAATTAGTGATTTTAAGTAACATTATCTACCGAGCACCTGTCAAGGTAACGTGGGCTGAATAGGTCTACATTTAAAAGGCCATTAATTTTTTTTTTGTACGAAGAGAGATCTCGATTGGACTTGGACAAAATTCAGCCTCTCTCGTTTCAAATGTGGTGCTGATAAGTTGTCGAGGTTGTTGAGCGTTAAACATTAGTTTGTCACCGGTAAGTGGTGGATTTAGGCTACAACCTACAAGAAGTTTCCCACTTTATTGGTTCTGGAATATAACCAGGCAAATTGGTTGATTTTGAGTTTTGTTTGGTGTTTGATTGTGTGGAAACTACTCCAATTAGGAGGATCGTCTGACTTCGTTTATCCAGCCACGTGGAACAGCGGGAAAGCACCCGCCATCTTCAGAGGCCTTTGATGTCAGAAGTTATGGATTTCTCGAGTCGTTCGGGTTACTATTGGCCTTTTTATTCTTGTCTTGGCGCAGTGAGTGTGAAGGGGTGACTTCCAAGGTAACCCTAGAAGAAACTCCAGGCTGGAACCCGAGTTTTCTCAACCTCTCCGAGACTTTCAACGTTCATCCTAAGTCCAAGTACCAGGGCGAAATTTGGAAAACTACGTCTGTGGGGAATCCTAATCCTAGGACCTCCCTATCAACGGCGGAACAGATAAGTCCTATTATTTTATTAATTTCAGTGCACCTAGTAGTGTACCGTTTCTCATTACTACAGTCCATAGTGGGGGTAGTGACGCGCCTTTTTATTGTTCAGGGTGGGAGCAGCTGATTAGTTCACGATGGAACCAGGGGTCGTCACACCAATAAAGGTGAATCTAGTAATTCACTATTATTAATTAAGAATTTATTATTATTTCCATTTATTAATCATGTTTAATATGAACTTTTATTGTTAATGGGGTTTAATTCACTATTGTGTTCTTTTCTCTTTTTCTTCTAGCTATAGTTATAAACCATTTAGGGGTGGAAAAAGAAAGTTTATTAAATATTTATCTTTCATTACTAAATATTAATTACTCAGGTTACTTAGTTATATTT